AACGGAACATACGGACCGGGTTTGTTCGTATCTCTGAAAGTTCGCGAGTCAACTGTTCGTAAGAAGAGGAGTCCCTGTACTCAATCCATCGATCGATTGGTAATGAATCGGCGCAGCGGATTATCCCCCACAAATCATGATGAACCCCGGTATATTTGATGTTTGTTTATTATGGTTCGCCCGAGCGGGAATCGATACAATTCATATCGAGTAACCATCCACAGTGACCATACACGGGGGGGGGGGGGGGGAGGGCACATCTCTGATCGGTGATTTTGTCGGGTGAACGACGTCATTGCTCTATCGCAGCGACCCATCGGTCACCGCAACCGATAACGGCGAGTTGCCAGGCAAAGATCGTGAAACGCCGCAACGGCCCGCAGACCCGCAAATGCGGCGAGAGAGACATCGCGGCGATGCCGATGATGACGACGACGACGCTGATGCTCCTCCGCTCGCCACGACCCGACGCAGCTGCCGGCTGGTTTGACGACAGCCCGAATGTAGTAATAGGTTTTAACCCTTTTAGCTGGCACACAAACTGACACCTTTATACAAGGGATCATGTTTGCAATAACCACAACACAAGCAGTCAAAAATGCAAACAAAAAGAGACAACTCTGATAATGATATGCACTGTCCTTGAATTTGATTGGTCCACACCCGAGACAGCTTTTCTTAGAGCCCAGTCTCCACTGATGTTGGCGTCTTCTGGTCCAACACCAGTGGAGACTAGATCGTCACAGATTGATGTACGAATCCGAACCCTTGCCACGTGGTTACCACCTTGCTTCGTCATCGGCTCTCATTCGTAGAGTTTCATTAACTCACGTTATCCTCATTGGAACAGCATGAATCTCGAGGGACTTGGAGAGTTCGGTTAATAGGGTGTGGTTGTATATTTTGTTTTTTTTTTAAATATGATTTTTACCAGCTCGTTTGTATTGCCTCGTTGTTGAATTTGTATTTTTGTTGTCAACCCCCCCCCCCCCCTGCATTAGTGTATAATTTGTATACAATTAGCATATCATTTGCGTACAATTTGCACGACGGGGGGGGGGGGGGGGGGTGAAAACACGTGGACCCGAACACGTGTGGTCCAATGCATATGTGTGGCAGACGTGTTGGCTAAGAGATTTTAATCGGTGGATCGTTATTGCATCGCATCGTTACAGCGCCATAAGCAATCAGAATCTATATTTAGACCGGAGGAAAGAGAAGGGCTTATGGAAGCTCTTTTTTTCACAGATGTCCATTCAGGGCGGGTGAGAAATCTCTCTACTCCCATGGTACAGCAAAAGTGTGCTCAGTGATCACAACTGAGAACTGCGTTTTGAGTCTGGGAAGCTTTCCATCATGCAACCAGACACCCACCGGAGTTTAATGCGGCCTGTTCGTTATGGAAAGATCGCGTTGTGATAAATAATACACAATTTGGCGGCGGCGGCGGCGGGGGGTGTTAAAGCACAGTCTGCGATAAGGCGTGAGATGCGTACGCGTCCCAATGCCTCGGTTGTTGTGATGCTAACGCAGAGGCAGCCGTACGGCCGCTTTACTGCTAACTCGCGATACGTGGTTCCGTTCACTCGATCGCGTTATGTATATATATGAAGAAAAAAAAACTCGTGTTCCCAAATAGATTCGTCGCGTTATGAAAATCACACCGGGGTGTTATAGGAGAACGGACTGTAATTGATTTGAAATCACCGATGACTGCACAAACGAAAATGCTTAGTTTACAATGGGTTTCCCAGCAAACGCGGAATGTTGGTTTCAACATTCTAGATTTGAAGCTTTCGTGACTGCAAGGATTCATACTCTTTGGTTTTTTTCGGTAAAGTCACGTAGGTAAAATAAAATAAAACAATTAAATCAAGACGTTTCGGAGGCAACACAAGCTTCCGTCTTCAGGTGGAACAGTCAGAGCAAGATCGCTGCATCACGATCACCGAGGCTTTCCTGTGTAATAACTGTTGCTGCGATCTTGCTGTGACTGTTCCACCTGAAGACGGAAGCTTGTGTTGCCTCCGAAACGTCGTGATTTAATTGTTTTATTTTACCTACGTGACTTTACCGAAAAAACCAAAGAGTAGGGTTCAACATTCTTTGTTGACCGGAGATTTTGGATTATGGCAGTGCGCTCTTTTGGCAACAAAAAAATAATAATTCCCTTCGTTATTGAATTGGTCAAAAATATTTCAGCGCTGCAACCTCCTGATAAGTAGCCTTGAGACCCACCGAGGCTTTCCTGGGTAATAACTGTTGCAGCACAATGCCGTATTTCTTTTTAGACCCGACTCGCTTAGAACCATCGAGGTATATATATAGGGCAGGTATTTATAAAGTATCGCAACACGTGAACACCTGCAGAGAGATGACAGTTTTACAAACCTTTACGGAAATGCTTGCAGCGGGCGCGTGCGGTTAATTGTTTAGGGAGGCAATGTGCGACGGTCGGATATGCGACTTGGACAAATGTCATCGCAATACTGTATTACGTGCATCGATCAGCCAGTGCGAGGGAGAAAAAAAAGACGGCGATCGAGATATATATATTTTTTTGCGGATCGCGCCACAAAGCAGGACATTGATTATCAACGGGTGAACTTAAAGGAGCGGTTCTAAAATGAAACCCCATCGAATTGAGAAAAAGTTACATTCTAAGTTATTTGTGGAACAGTTTTATTTCGGGGTTACCAAGACGCTACGAAATGTAAGACGCACCCAAACTTGCGCCCGGTGTTATACAGATATGATTGTAAGATACACTCCCTTAACTTACGCTTTGAAATGCAGGGGTGGAAAAAAAAACGCCTGCCTTATAATCCAGAGCCAGTGGGTTTTAACCTGGGGTGCACGCACCCCCTGGGGGTGCAAGATGCCCTTTCTGGGGGTGCGAGACGTGGCCAGATTCTCTGTTTAGAAGGTAAATAATCGAAAACACAAATTAAGCACGTGCACGTCAGTGCAACTGCTTTGCTTCATCAAACCTAAAAATATGAATTCCTGCAGTCACGACAAGCTTTCAGTCACCAATGTATTTGTTAACATGAAACATTTCTCGTTAACGATTGAGGCTGCAGTAAAGGTTAAGAACCGCCGATTCGGAGAATAATCCGGGTACTGCAATTACCCAAACCTTCCACTGTGTTGCGACTTCCCAACACTGCGGCTTCACAAGGGTTGAATGCAAGGCTGGAATATAAAAATAAACACTGGACACGTTTAACAGAACGTGATTGACCGATCGCCGAGAATTGCATTCCATGGAGAGACTGGTGCAGCATCAGGGCCGACAATTGTGCGAGATGATTGTGAAGCGTTGTGTACGTTTATCGACTTGATGAGAGCGTTTTGAATTCCTGGTCACAAATGTGTGGATGCGAGCGGTCATTGCAGTAGCAATGCTTTCCGAGTTAACACGTTGGGATTGTTCTACGGTTGTGGCGCTGGTAGAAATCGGACGTACATTAACACAAAAAAACAATGAGCAATTGTATGTTATTGTAAGAATGTAACGTTTTATGCTAATGCATCAATAGACATGCTATGCAAAATGCAATTCCCCTTCTGCACGATGAGAAGTGAAGGGCGGGAAAAAGGTACATTTTGCACTCTCTTAAAAGCCTTGGGTACGGTGATATGCAATTTGTTGACGCGTGGGATTTAAAACTTGTCTGAAATCTGCATCGGCGCTCCATAGCTCCGTGTATATACGCGCAATATACAATGCTCCCTCCGAAGGATCCGTGTGTATTATAATCCAGCTTCCTTTTTTGCTAATTTATTAAATGGATTTTTGAGAAGTCGGTCTCCAGCATCGATGTTTTTTTTCCCCTCCTCAGCATTCGTCACCAAGGTGATGCATTTTTCTAAGCCTCAAATGGTGAAAATCTACCACGTGGGTCTTATAGGTTTATTGTTTGTACTTGATTTCCAGATGTACAATAAAAAGTTACCACAAATATTGAGAACTCTAAGTTAATGTTTATGTAGTCAGTTTGGTATCCCTTAATTCTTGAACTGTCCACGGTATATTATTTAGAACTGATGTTCGTGTTTAGTTTGTTGTCCTTCCCCCACAACTCCGATGAGCACAGTTGGCTACGTGCGGTGCAAAAGAAGTTAAACATAATTCAATCCAGCAATAATATTCGAAATCAATGTAAGAAACAGTGTAGTTTGGGTTTAAACAAATATATGTGAAACGAAATTAGAAACGATTCCATAAGGTTTTTTTTCTTGGCTTAGATGGCGTAAATATAAAATTGGCGTTAAACCCACCACCACCACCCGACACAGCTAATTGGTAAGATTTGTCACGTACACAAAACGTGCCAATTCGTTACCTGTTCAGCACACCGGTGTGTTGGAGAGTAAACCGTGAAAGCCCCCGTGTTAAACTAGAATCGATTCCAATCAATTTGGCAAGAATCAATTACAAACATCTTGGCATGAGCCATCTCCGACTGGTTTGTAACCAGATCAGAAAGAGAGAACTGCAACACTTTCAGGGGTGGCCTCAAAGTGTCACTGACCGGGCCTGTGCCTCACCAAAACAATGAATCCATGAGAGGTTTTTAGGTGGGATCGCGTCAATATAAATGTGTCGTTAAACCCGCCACCACCCGACACAGCCAATTAGCACGAATTGTAAATGTTGTGGGTTTACTCTCCAAAACACCGGTTAGTGCTGTACTAGTAACGAATTGGCACGTTTTGTTTACGTGACAAACCTTGCTAATTCGCTGTCGGGTGGTGGCAGGCTTAACGACGATACATTTACTTACGCGATCTAACCCCCCCAAAAAAAAACCTCTTATGGATATTGGTCGCGAAGGCCCTACCAATTACTACGCGCTAAAGTGACAAAACTAATGTCGTCAAACCCCCATTGTGGGTCGTAACAACAACAAAAACAAGAACAGGCTGGTCGAGCGAGAACCGTTTCACGCGTTAACAAAAGCTCTACACAGACAGAGCGACAAGTGTGACGGTGGGAGGTTTGTTACACGCAACGCGTTTATTACAATAGGCAAAGAGCTTCGGTTCTATGAATACATCGGCTAGGAGGATAGGATTCTTCCTATAACAGAATAACATCATTATACAGATTTGTGTGTTTTTTTAAGTTTTTAAATCTTCCTCCGAAGAGTGATAATGGGTGGCATTACAGCCCCTTTTGGCCCGCGTTGATGCCACTTTGGTCAAAAGTAAAGGAGACCTCTGCCCGAATCGCTCACCCAGACCGGCGACGCACACGACACGGAGGGGAGGGGGGCAAGTGGGCACCTAGAGTCAATCCATCACAAGTAGGCAATACGCACATACACTTCTATACAAAGCACTTTCAAGAGTTTCTTCTCTGCTCAGGGTGGGAGGGAGGGGGGTGAAAGGGCTAAATGGGGGGTGGGTGTAAGGTTGGGACGAGTGACGCGAGCAACAATTATTCAAGTTTGCAGTACAGCGACTCCTCTACTTACGAACGAGTTAGGTTCCAGAGGTCTGTTCGCAAGTCGATTTGTTTCGCAAGTCCAACTTTACTCCCGTCGATTCCACACGTGTTGTACGGCGTGTACACTAAACACGGGGAATGCCTTTCAAGGTTGTATCATCTCCTGTAGATGCCACTGGTTTTCATGTTCTGCAGATGTTGATGCCACTGGTTCTTCATGTGGCATCTACATGAAATATGGATGGGTTTGTTAGTATCTCTGAAAGTTCCTAAGTCGAGTGTTCGTAAGTAGGGGAGTCCTTGTAGTAGTACAATGCGCTATGATTCACATCCCTCTTCTGTGGAAAGTCTTTAAAAACGTTCTGGGTTATTCACATTAAAACGTTAACTCACAATGGGAACCTTAAATATCGTTTTACAACTTGTAACAATGCACCATTGTTATATATATATTTTCTTACTCTACTTAAAGATTCGTGTAAGTGTGTGTGTGCACGCACGCGTTTTCTCATACGATAACTGTTACAGACTTTGTACGGCTTCAAGGCAAATACTTACCTTACGTGGTGCCCTCCCCCCACCGCCCCCAAGATTGGGGGGGGGGGGGGGGGGGTGGGGCAGGAGGCATCGCATCTTTCTGCATTGATAAAGCTTTACAAAAAGGATGCAAGTTTGACCCTTCAATCATTATTTTTAGTTTTTTTTTACTCACAGTTGCATAAAGCACACGCGTCGTCAAGTATGAGTGCAACGGAGAGCAGGGGGGGGGGGGCGAGGAGGCGGCGGGGCGGAGGGGGGGGAGGCCTCAAGTCTTTTCTTTTTAAGACTACGTCTCATCAAGCAAAGCCACGCTTCCCCCGCCATCGTCGTGCTGTTTTTAATCAAGTTAAACTAAATTAAATCTTCCACCACCTCCCCGGCCGCCGCCGCCGCCATCACCACCAACGACCCCCCCGGCTCCCCAACCCCGTCGCTGTGAAATAAAATCGCCACTGAAACCCACGAACAGTTTTCAAATCAAAACAGCAGCCAGAGGCCGGGGGAGGCCCCCCCCCCTGAAAAGGCAAGCAGAGGGGGGGGGAGGAGATTCTGTTTGCCAGCCCTGATTTCTCCATCGCTTTTTCCCCTCCGTCCTTTTTCACTCTTCAGCTTCGAGCAGAGGAGCCGCTAATATTAAGCGGCCTTCTTTTCGTCCCCCCCCACCACCCCCCCCCCCCCCCCCCCGTTTAGCGGGCCGGCTCTTTTTTTTTTCGCTGCGCGCTTTCGTTTTTTTTTTCCGAGTCGCACGATTGTCCGCTAAAAAGGTGCAGGTCCAGGTCCATGCCCGTACTGGTGCTGCTGTGTATCTGCAAACGTGTCACCAGCACGAAGGGGTCACGGCAGGGCCAGTGGCGGTGGCGGGGGTGTAAACACACAGACAGAGGCAAGAGCAATCAGTGAACAATCTAGAGGTGCACCCCAGCATGGCGGCGTGTCATCACCGTTCAGGTGTTTTTTTTTGCACGAATGTAGAAATTTCAAATAATATATAATTCTGTTATGTTATTACATTGAAAAAAATATTAACAAGCCCTAAGATACTTCCTCCTGCTTACAGCCCCTGAGCCAGCGGTGGAAATTCCACATTCCTATGGTGGGGGCAAGTCTACCCATAGGACAACCACTAGAGACTTCCTCACAAAGTGGTATTCATTTTTAGCAACTCCAGAGGGATGATTGGCCGAATCAACTCCCCTCCAACCAGGATTTTAACTCGTAACTTTCTAACTACGAGCCACTCATAATTCCAGAGGCCTTTCTGGCCAATTCGATACATTTAACATCAAGCAGAGCTAGACTATAAGGAAGCCTATATAAGCACAGTTCTGACATAAGTAAAACATGCTGACAGTATTATACTGTTGGGGGGGGGGGGTGGGGGGGGGCAAAAGGGACACTTCTGATACAAGCACACTTCGGACATACACACACAGCCTTGCTCCCGAGTCGTATGCTTGCGTGTTATATTTAATTTACATGCAACCGATTCTGTTTCCAGGAAAAAAGTTGACGTCACAATGCAATGGAAACAAAACGCTCCCTTCGAAGCGTTTGGCTGCTCAGCTGGGTGCACAGCGCGCCCCACTAGATGAAGCATACTTTTTTATGTATAGATATATATAAAATACAAATTTCATTTAGCACAAATATCTGGCCGGTACCAACCAAAGGGGACATCAAAAGGGCAGTGATCTGCCAACCATTAACAATGGAAATGGGAGTGGAAATGGATGGGAAAAAAAAGTAGTTAAAACAAACTCTCTTAAATTATTTTGGAATTCCGCTACACCCGCCCCCTTCCCCCCCCCCCCCCCCGAGTTTTCACGTGACTGTGCTATCGGTGTCGTGGCACGAGACGGAAGAATCCACTCGCAACTCTCTCAGAGGCAGTGCAACTCTTCCTGTTAAGAGAACCGCCCACGGAAGTGGATATCACGGAGCTAAATCCAAGATCCTTTCAAGTGACCTCTGGTCCAGGCGGAAGAGGGGCAGCGCTTCCCCACCTGCTCTGCATATGGGAGTAACGTTTGGGCACATGACAGTCAAACCCGATGTTGAATTCGCAGAGGTGGAATTTCGCTAAATTATGTGCAAAACCAAATGTAATGGGTTTTTGTGTGTGTGTGTGCAGTCACTGGTGACCGGGCTGAGACCATCAACTCACTACACTTGAGAGAACCCGGTTTAATTACAGGCAGTGGTCGAAACCTGGATTCGAACCCAGGTTCTCTGCGGTGCTCAGCGGCCCTTACCTCTGAACCAGCCGGCCACATCCTGCAAATTTAACATTCTATACAGTGGCCAATATAGCTCATTTATTTTAAACAATGTAGCATTCGAAATCTGTGGTGTACAATTTCATACACCACAATAGCTTTTACATATATACATGAAAAAACACATTCTTTGATATATTTACATGTTTGTCTATTTTAAGGTGTATTGTTCAATGTGGGATCGCGAAGAGAGCGGCGAGCAGATGAGTGAGTGACAATTCAGATCAAAAGGGCGTCATAAAAATATGTTAATGGCAAATCAAAATCACATGACAGGAAAAACAGAAAAAATGCAAACATTTCATGCAAGTGTGACATGACCAAAAAAGAGACGGTAAAAAATTAATAAATATCGATTGAAACTCTCTATGGCCAAATACATAAATTTGTACATGTATCTCTCTCTCTCTGCTCATACGCTAACATTCCCCACTGTGTTTTATTCTGCCTCCTCTCTCTGTAATCCAGACAAACCCTGGAGCCATCCTTGCAGTGGCTTTTGGCTAACCGCTGAACAAAGACGGTCAACACCGCATCGCGCGTTTTCAGAAGCACTTCCGCGGCCGTCTGGAACGCTCTTCCTTCTGATATGAGGAAGCCACTAGACCCTATGCACTTTTAAATCTAAATTAAAAACTAACTTCTTTCGAAATTACTCAGCGTCTCTAGTTTGTTGTCCTTCGCCGGCACCTCCGATTAGCGCGGCTGGATGTATGTTGAACTTCGTTTGCAGCGTACGTACCCAACCGTGCTAATTGGCTACACGTACGGTCGGTGCGAAAATAAATTAATCATACATACATCTCGTTCCACTGCATCCTCCCATCTCCCACCCTCGGTCTCCCTCTACTCCTCCTACCCGACGCCGGTGGCATCTCCATGGCCCTTCTCGTTTCACCGTCTCTCCGCCTCGTCTCAATCCCAACTGCTCCCTTAGCCTTCTCAACAATAAAAGTAACTTGCTGTTAAAGCTCAGGACACCTTCAACCCACCTCCATTCCCTCATCTGTGTCCCTAACAAGCAACTCTCTTTTACACGCATATATATATATATGTTCTGGTTCATAGCAAACATATCAGACAGGCATAAAGGCATATTTGCTGTTATTTGCGTGCAGCATATGTATGCGTGTGTGTGTGTGCGTGCGCACGTATGAGTTTCTGACCGCTGGTTTGTCGGGCGAGTGACTCACTTGAGAGTTGCTTCTGCAGCTGGCGAACCAGAGCAGCCGTCTGCTGCTGCTGTTGTGTTTGCTGTAAATCCAGACGTGGGGTGCGAGAGTGCGGGACAGTGCAACAGGTTGGTCAATCAGTCGGACGAACACGGTCCTTTATTTTAGATGATCGTTGCTTCTTTTGTTGTTGTTGTTGTTGTCCCCACTGCACAACCCAAGAACGCGAGAGCGTGGATGCTGCCGTCGCTCGTTCGAATGTACCCGACTTGCGTAACGGACGATGAAAACGATTTAAACTCGACTATTTTGTTTTATTTGACCAGATAAGGCCCAAGAGAGTTTTCAGAAGCAACCTGGCACCAAAGGACAGCGCAACGAAATGGCGGCTTGTCATCAAGTGGAAATACAGTGGTACCTCGGTCAACGTCGTTAAGTCGTTCCAGAAGGTAGGAGGACTTATACCGAAAATGACGAATATACCAAACTAATTTTTCCCATAAGAAATAAAGGGAAAGGAAATCATCCGTTCCAGAGTATAAAAAAAAATTATATTTTATATGGCATATTATACATTAATGTGGTTGTCTAAAATAATTTAGACACTGCTTATTACTAAAATGCATACATGAACAAAAATAAATGCATAAATAAATTAAAAATGATATAAAAATATAGCAAGGGTTGTGCACTGAATGAGATCTACTGTACTGTCGGAATCGAACCCACGACATCCTGTATACCAGGCGAGGCAGTTAACATCTCGTCACTGCGGCGCCCGATTGACCGAGCCCCTGGCCTTGCTTGGCACGGAGCAAGATTCAGATTGTCTTGTAAGGCCAACTTGTACCGGTTTGGCTACGGCTCGGTTTGGCAAATAGCCGATGGGAAAACCACCGTTTACTGTGAGGGCACTGCGCTGGCATGGCTCGGACGAGCCAGTGGAAAAGGGGGGTAAAAGCCCTAGGTTGAAATACACTACTTATTAAAAACACATTTTATCAAGCGAACAAAAAATTTGATATTAAGTTAACACAATAAAAACAAAATGTACAGCCGTTTGTCAATCCTAATAATAATAAGTCCCTGCTGACCGAACACCTCCCCACGCCATCTTGGTCATGGGGGTTGTTTGACCATACTTCACCACGCTGGTCAATAGAGATTTGTGAAGGCCGGTAGTGGGGGGTTAAGGCCGGTTCATACGTCACGCATCGCTCATGTTTTCAGAGCATTGCTGGTAACGAATCAGAATATGCAGTCATACTCTATGAATCTGAAGAGCTGTAAAGCTCTTTTTCCACGGATGTCCAGCAATGAAAAGCAGGGTCAGCAGATAACGAGCGCAGAGCGCGGAACCCACTGCAACACGCCACTTCATTATTGTGCCGCAATGAATCCCAATCACCCATCACACGTTCAGGTGCGGGCAAGCTGGCACTGTACCAGCGGTGGCGGAAAGCAAAAGCTGAACCCTCATGTCGACCGTCCACCACTCTCACCATTGTTTGCTGTTGCTGAATGGGCTGCATGCCCATGGGGGGCTGCTGTGCCGGCTGGGGAGCCTGCTGTTGCGGAAGCTGTCCTCACACAAGCGACGCCAACACACACACATACACACACAGAGGCATTTAAAAAAAGGTAAGAACTATTCAACTATATTCTTAGTTTTTTCGGTAAAGTCACGTTGAAGGGAAACAACAAAATAATAAAATATATAAAACAATAAAAAATCCTCACGACGTTTCGACCATAACTCAAACGGTCGTCTTGAGGTGTGTTGGTTTGCATAAATTTATTTTTATTTTTAAAAACGTCGTGAGAATTTTTTTATTGTTTTATATATATTTTATTATTTTGTTGTTTCCCTTCAACGTGACTTTACCGAAAAAACTAAGAATATGAATTACTGCGGTCACGAAAGCTTTAAATCAAAACTATTCAACTATTTCAAGGGAAAAAAAACAAAACACGTTTTTAATTTATTTTTTTAACCAGGTAAGTGCCCACTGAACTATGCACAGCTTTTTGTCAGAAGCGACCGCGCCACAAACGACAGCGCAACAAAGCGGCTCACCATCAGGTGGAAATTTATAGCGGCCAAATAATCTAAACGCACGCTTCTAAATGTACAAAAACTCGAAAGACAAAGATCCCCCATGCAGCCTACATAGACTGTTGGGGTAAGTGCTGTTAGCAAGCACCAATGAAGGCCGGCACGGCGCACAAACTGGTGGTATTGCAAACGCCAAGCCCGGCCGCGTATGTCTCCACGCTGCTGATGTTTACACTCAGCAACAGTTACTCATTGAAGGTATAGTCAACCTAGGGGAGGCCCAGGGCTGGTTCAGATAATCGTCACCGATGTCGGCCATGGCCCAGGAAATCAAACTCGCGTTGCTTGGTTCATAGTGCGGCGCATGCTCTCACTTAAGAACAATAATTGAAAATACACACAACCCATAAACATTAAGCCGTCAGTTGCTCAGGAGTCAGGAGCACTGGGGCCAAGCCCACCGAGATCACATGGGCTTGGACCCAGGCAGCTGCCTGTGATTAAACTGCGTTCTCTAAGCGCAGCAAGGTGATGGTTTTAAAAGTCTGAGAATTCCAAAGCGGCGACGACTGCACAACAACCCCACCGCGTTAAGTTTCGATTTTAACTTTCGTAAAATTTACCAGCTGTGAGAATTAAAATTGTTCATTTTGACGAGTGACAGAACACACTAGGTGTGCCTTGAGTGTGAAGAGGTCGATTGAAGTGGCTTTCAGAAAGAAGTCCGTGATATGCACGTGTGGACGTTGAACTTCTTTCGCGCCGTACGTAGCCAACCGTGCTAATCGGAGGTGCCGGGGGAAGGACAACAAACTAAACACGAAAAGCAATTTTAAATTGGTTTACAATCAAGATTTTAAAGTGCATAGCTCCAGTGGCTTCCTAATATCAGAAGAGCGTTCCAGATTGCTGCAGTAGCACAAAGATATAATCTTTCAGGGCCACTCTCTAATACAGGACAGCAAGCACACTGCTAGATATCCCGCGCCTCCGATTAGCACGGTTGGCTACGTACGGTGTGAAAGACGTTCAACATACATACACAACTGTGAGCGTTCCAAACATTCATTTGTGTATATATAACCTGTATGATCCTCTGTTGTTGCTGTTGCTGCTGTTGTTGTTGCTGCTGCTGCTGCTGTTGCTGCTGCTGTTGCTGCTGCTGCTGCTGCTGTTGCATCCTGTGTCGCATCTCCGGTGTCATCTGCGCCATGCCAGAATGCATTGGGCCGGTCGGCACCTGCTCTATGCTCGACAGCATTCCACCCTGCTGCATGGGCTGATGTGAAAGTCTGCAAGGACAATGAAACAATGAGTGTGGAAGCAATGTGCAATGAGAGACGCAGGTAAATACACAAGTGTGGTCACAGCCAAAAGGAACTTGAGGACTCCATGCAACTTAAATGTGGATGTTTTACATTGTTGCATCCTGCCACTATTTACATCACGTTTAACATTCGGCTGGCAGAGATGACAAGACGTCTTCCAAGGCAGACACGAATGAGTTATTTCATGAAAAACGCAAGGCACCAAAAATAGCAGTCGTGTCAACAAGCGGTGGTTTTCACCCAATTCCACTACCACAGCCTCACGGGAGAGGGCCTCACCGGGGTGTGTTCTGTAGGTTGCGTGGGTAAGCAGCCGGGGCCTGCTGGTGTACGTAGCCACTAGGCTGCTGCTGTTGTTGCTGCTGCTGCTGTTGTTGCTGCTGCTGTTGTTGCTGCTGTTGTTGCTGCTGCTGTTGCTGCTGCTGCTGCTGGATCTGCCGCAGCGAGTCCACCATTCCGGCTCCTGGCGCGGGCCCCGCTTGGTAGGGCTGTCCCGTGTAGCCCGGTGACAGGAGCGCCGTCTGCGAACCGTGCTGCCCACTCACGACCATGGGGGCCCCGCTGGCGCCGGCGGCCCCCGCGCCTCCGTTGCCGCCGCCGCCGCCGCCGCCCGCAGAGAAAGCGCCGTAGCCCTGAGACATTGCCTGTGCAGCCGGAGGTCACGCAGGTGTAAAGACATTGGCAAGCGCTATGCGGCAAGGCAAAATAAGTCAGACAAGCTAATTTCCCTGCTCCTATTCACGTTCAGGCAGAGCTTGCTGAAGTTTTGTTCACAACCCCGAGCCAGTGATGGAAATTCCACATTCCTATGGTGGGGGCGAGTCTGCCTATAGGACAAGCACTTTTGCCTTCCACACAAAGTGGAGGTTATTTTATCGACCTCGGAGTGAAGATAGTTGGCGTTTTACGAGTCACACCCAAAACCAGTAGTTGAAAATTATTTCAAAAATCCAAAAAGCACTGAAAATCACAAGCCAATTCTGGAATGCACAATTCAATTCCACATTAAGTTACTGTATGATAGAGCATGAAGACAAAGTTAACAACAAGCCAGCTTTGCTTTGTATGCTGTAAAAATTTTGATCTTCGGGAGCAACGTTTTTATTTGATTTATTTCCCAAATTTTAAAATGTTTAACGGATCTCCTAATCCAGCCCCTCCACGCCCCAACGACATTTCCCACTTTCGGCTTAATACGAAAGATCCAACAATCGGACCTCGACACAAAATGTAATCTGAAAATTTTACATCTGAGGAAGTGACGTCACTCACGACATCACTTCCTGCGGTGTCACACGACATCAAGTAGATCCGTTAATTATTGCACCAAACTCATAAGTCGAAAACACCCAACAGTGCAAAACGTTGAATTTGAATCTCTTCTGTCGTACACGCCTTTATCATTTACGCATGCACGCACGGGCCGGATTAAGGTTCTTGTAGGCCCCGAGGCACTTCTGTTTCGCGATAAGGTTAGTGATAACGCTCCGTCTAACCCTCTACTGAGAATGGGACTGTGCCAAAAACATAATTTGAAGATGTTCTTGCTAATTTTGCCATGAACATTTTTCGAAAATGTAATCTCCAGTGTTAATTTCTCTCACCTTATGAAAAAAAAAAAATTAACAATGACATGACTCTACCTGATGATGATTGCTTGTGTTGCAGTCGAAACGTTGTGAAAATTGTATTGTTTCATATTTTGTTATTTTATTGGTTCCCTTCTACGTGACTTTACCGAAAGAACCAAGAATATGACTCCATCTCTTTGTATATACACTGTTGCCTATCCTTGCGATATAAATATATTTTTTCAAGAAGATATCTTGGTGACATTTTTTATCTTACAAACAACAAAAATGTGTCAAATTATTATTTTCGTAGGCCCTTCTTGTTTCCATAGGCCCTAGGCACAGTGCCAACTGTGGCCTATTGCACAATACGGCCCCGACGCACACGCACAGCCTGCAAATAATTTATTTCCACTCGGTGCACTCCGAGGAGGTCAAGCAAGGGCGGCTAACCTGAGCTGGCTGCTGCATTGCGCTGTACTGAGCGAGGGGGTTAGGCTGCCGTACGGGCTGCGAGTAGATGGCTCCCTGGCCCATCGCCTGGCCCTGCTAGCGGCAGACAAAGACGCGCCAAAGCCACACAAACGTCACAAGCGTTATTTTGGACAAAAGCACGACGCAATTAAAGCGACGGACTCACTATTAGTCGAACGTCGCATATCTGAATCGCTGAGGTCTGAGGTATAGGCAGAGTTATATTTTAAAAAGGTTGGATAAAGTGAACATCTGTAGAAAATGACAGCTAAATCGTGCACAAATCATGCACTGGATTTAGACACTTAATTGGTCAGCGTGGATATGCGACGGTCAGATATACGATGTTGTACACTCCATGGTGAGTCTAACGCAGCGCAATTCATTTCGTTTTACCAGATCAAACGCAAACGTTTATGCAACATGTAAAAAAGAAACACTTCACATGTAATGAGTGTCGAAAGATTGATAACTGTAAGCCAGTAAAGTGCAATTTAAAGCCGCAAAATTCCGGTTTTGCCGATAAACCAAATTAATTGGCATATTTGCCCACGGGACAACTCGATTCGATTGACTCGGTCGGGTGGGTTGTGGAGGAATATATTTAATTGATATTCCTACGGTATAATCTTACCTAAAAAAAATATTTATGAATCATCTTGGTCGTGAGATCCTACACGTAAAAAAAAAAATTCTAAATTTTCAAATTAACTTTGTATTCCATAATGCTGCCCAACAGATTTGGCCCCACTTAATCAGCTCCGGTCGGCAACAGCTAAAGCTGCAAGCGCCTAACAAACCCAGTGGGTTGTCTCCAACCCACTGTGTCAAACCCACTGGGTGTGGTTAGGCACCACGGACTGGAGTCAGCGCTAGGACCGGCAGCGTTCCCATTCCGAGGCCAGGTGGCGACTCCGAGCGACCGGCATCCAATCCATTTGATTTGCGCGACAACGCGCAAGGCAAAAACACAAGGCTGCTGGTGATTGAAAAATAACAGCAGGTGGCCGTTTGGATTGGTGCGAACAGGATCGAATCACGCGTCCGCGTAATGCGCCCTATTAGTTTCAGCTTTACGTGATTTAGTGCTTCGGTTATAAAATATCTGGCATCAATGAAGTGTTACACGAGTTGCTTTGTGTATATACGCACACACACAGAAAAAAATACCCCCTGTATAGACTTAAAAAAGGCTGTAGATGCTAGTGCTGTTAGCACTTATGAAGGCCAGCACGGCACAAGAGGGAGTGGGTGGCCAACACCATGCCCGGCCGCCTTTGTCTCCCTTGTGCTGAAGTTTACACACTGCACAAAGTACTCATTTAGGGCACAAAAACACACACACGCACACACAAGCACGCACGGAAGCGTGCGCGCACAGACACAGACTTGCAAACACGTGCACGTGCGTCCACACACGCATACACACGCACGCGTCCGCACGCACGCACGCGCGCACGTGCACACACCCAAACAACCTAAAAAACGCAAACGCACGCACCACCTGTGCAAAAGGCCTCATTTGTGCCGGGTGGCGCATTAAGGTGTGCCGCTGGATCATCTTCATGTGCATCATCTGCTGCTGGTGCTGCTGCTGCTGCTGTTGCTGGTTCTGTGCCTGTGCCTGCTGTTGGTGGGGAGGCATGCCGGGGCCCGGTCCTGGCGGCTGGGGAAGGGATCCTCGCCGCATCAGCATGTCGGTGAGCAGCTGCTTCGTGTTGGCGCCCGGGAACGGCCGGCTCGTGTCTATCCGCGGTCCGCCTGCGGTGCAGACGAGGGTTGATGGACGTAGCCACAAAAGACAAAGGTGCCCCACGAACCGCATAGCTTGCAGCAAGCTGTTAGGGCAAATGCCGTGAAGTGAGGAGCGCCTACGAGGGGCGAAAGGAACACTTGAACAGGTGGATGGAACAACACCACGCCCGGCCGCCTTTAGCCTCCCCCACCCCCGTAAGTGGCGCTGTTTACACACCGCATCAGGTGCGGTTCAGGTAATCGTAACTGGTGTAGGCCGTGACAGGGAATCAAACCCGGGTCATTGGGTTCGTAGCACAGTGCGCTAACCGCTACACTACGGCTCCCCAGGGATATACAGACACACAGCGCTAAACTCGTGATTTGCGGCATCCGTGCGTGTTAGATTTTTAGCGTTGTCCAATTGGTTGGGTGAGCAAACCGTAGCAAGACCAGTTAAAAAAAAATAGATTGCCCTATGATTTCCAATGTGCGTTAAATCTTTGGACGTGTAATTCACAAAGTGGAAGCAAACGGGTAGCGTTAGGGGCAAAATGCAATTGCAAAAAGAAAATTCTCGAATTGTTGGTAAACGCTTTGATCAATTTGCCCGGTTTTCAATCGAGTGAATACCTAAAAGCAACGCAACTTTAAACTAAAGTTCAAAATCACATTGGATCGTCTTTGAGAGTTATAGTGTGCCGACCCACCAAATTCCCCCAACCCCCCATTCCAGACGGACATGAGCTCATGCATAAACGCTTTAGACCTCGAGTTATAAAAAGCACTAAAAAATAAACCACCGCCGAATGCAAAAAAAAAATAACAATACGGGATTCCTGAGCTGTCGCTTTCTTTTAAAGCATTTCAAATGCGTCAGCACAGAACCTGTGTGCAGCAGGAACCAGTGTCTTGGCCTACCTGGTGCAAGCGGCTGGCTGGGAGTGTAGTAATTGGTCTGCAGTGGCTGGTTCATGGTGGTGTAGCCGAGGCCCTGGTAGGGCGGGTGTGTGGTGTGCATCATCTGCGGTGGTGGTATCGTTCCGAATGGCGGCATTCGGTTGTAGCTGTTCTGCGGGTACTCCTGAAGAAAGATAAAAAAAAAAGTATATTAGAGACATGCGTGTGTATACACTGTACAGTGAGGGGAAAAAAGTATTTGATCCCCTGCTGATTTTGTACGTTTGCCCACTGACAAAGAAATGATCAGTCTGTAATATTAATGGTAGGTTTATTTGAACAGTGAGAGACAGAATAACAAAAAATCCAGAAAAACGCATGTCAAAAATGCTATAAATTGATTTGCATTTTAATGAGGAAAATAAGTATTTGACCGCCTCTCAATCAGAAAGATTTCTGGCTCCCAGGTGTCTTTTATACAGGTAACGAGCTGAGATTAGGAGCACTCTTAAAGGGAGTGCTCCGAATCTCAGCTTGTTACCTGTATAAAAGACACCTGTCCACAGAAGCAATCAATCAATCAGATTCCAAACTCTCCACCATGGCCAAGACTAAAGAGCTCTCCAAGGATGTCAGGGATAAGATTGTAGACCTACACAAGGCTGGAATGGGCTATAAGACCATTGCCAAGCAGCTTGGTGAGAAGGTGACAACAGTTGGTGCGATTATTCGCAAATGGAAGAAACACAAAAGAACTGTCAATCTCCATCGGCCTGGGGCTTCATGCAAGATCTCACCTCGTGGAGTTGCAATGATCATGAGAACGGTGAGGAATCAGCCCAGAACTACACGGGAGGATCTTGTCAATGATCTCAAGGCAGCTGGGACCATAGTCACCAAGAAAAGAATTGGCAACACACTACACCATGAAGGACTGAAATCCTGCAGTGCCCGCAAGGTCCCCCTGCTCAAGAAAGCACATATAAATGCCCATCTGAAGTTTGCCAATGAACATCTGAATGATTCAGAGGACAACTGGGTGAAAGTGTTGTGGTCAGATGAGACCAAAATGGAGCTCTTTGGCATCAACTCAACTCGCCGTGTTTGAAGAAGGAGGAATGCTGCCTATGACCCCAAGAACACCATCCCCACCGTCAAACATGGAGGTGGAAACATTATGCTTTGGGGGTGTTTTTTCTGCTAAGGGGACAGGACAACTTCACCGCATCAAAGGGACGATGGACGGGGCCATGCACCGTCAAATCTTGGGTGAGAACCTCCTTCCCTCAGCCAGGGCATTGAAAATGTGTCGTGAATGGGTATTCCAGCATGACAACGACCCAAAACACACGGCCAAGGCAACAAAGGAGTGGCTCAAGAAGAAGCACATTAAGGTCCTGGAGTGGCCTAGCCAGTCTCCAGACCTTAATCCCATAGAAAATCTGTGGAGGGAGCTGAAGGTTCGAGTTGCCAAACGTCAGCCTCGAAACCTTAATGGCTTGGAGATCTGCAAAGAGGAGTGGGACAAAATCCCTCCTGCGATGTGTGCAAACCTGGTGGTCAACTACAAGAAACGTCTGACCTCTGTGATTGCCAACAAGGGTTTTGCCACCAAGTATTAAGTCATGTTTTGCAGGGGTCAAACACTTATTTCCCTCATTAAAATGCAAATCAATTTATAACATTTTTGACATGCGTTTTTCTTGATTTTGTTGTTGTTGTTATTCTGTCTCTCACTGTTCAAATAAACTTACCATTAAAATTATAGACTGATCATTTCTTTGTCAGTGGGCAAACGTACAAAATCAGCAGGGGATCAAATACTTTTTTCCCTCACTGTATATGGGCGGTTACATGGCCAAATGGTAGCATGCGTGTCGCATGTTGCTGGGGGATGGCGGTTCCAATCCAGCGGGCCGCCCTGGTGAATGCTGCGAGGCGTATTTAACCGTAAATACACGTGCCGTCTGCTGCGCGGTCCACTTCGCGAACACAGTGACGTTATTCGGGGAAAAAAAAATATTCCCAACAAAACGTGATACCGTGACGTTCTTCAAAACAAAGTGAATATATTTCATATACACCGTGAGGTTATTTGCAAGAGAGGAGGCCAGGTGTGTTGGTGTCACGTTCCAAATTTGAAAAATCCCTCACTTCAATGGGCAAAACCACAGAACGCCATCAATCTCTTCTGGGAAACTACACTCATCTGTGAAAAGACGGTGCGCCTCTCACGATAGCCTGGGGCTACGAGAATGGTACAAACACCAAATGTGTTGAGATGCGCGCGCGCGCATGCGCGCAGAAATCCAAGAGAGAGAGAGAGAACGCGCCAGACAGAAGAACCACCGTGTGAACGTTCTCGCACGCCGATCGTTTTGATCGTCGCTAACCCCGAACCGAAATCGATGACCCGACTCTATGACTTTCGGAATCAATAGTCGCCTCAGCAAGACGATCATCGGAAAGGTCGATGCACCAACCCCCCCCTAGCACAACTACGAACCGAACAAGAAACGAATGAACAAGCGAACGATCCAACTCGGCCAACAGAGACAGCCCCCTGGCAAGGGACGCGAACTGCACTGCGTCTCGCCTCCTTCTGGCTCGGCTTTTTGCGCTTGCGCGTGTTCTTGGGTTTCTTGTCCTCCTCCGGAGGCTTGGCGGCCTCCACGGACGCTTCGGCCTGCTTGCGGTCGCCGTCCGCGCCGCCCCCCACTGGCCCCGCCGACGGAGGCGCCGGCGGTTCCACCTCCTGCGGCGGACGGCAGAAAACCGGGAGGCCGGTGCATTTCGCGTGCAGAGTCAAACGGGGTCACGCCCAGCAGCTAGCACGCTGCTGGGCGTGTCCCTGTCGTCGGAGCAGTGATGCCGCAGTGTGTAAAACGCACGTCACCCAGGGTTTGTTTACGAATATATGGGGCCCGTTGTTTTTCACTAAAACTCTTTATTTTTTTTATTTTAGTAGGTAAGGCCCACTGAGCAACCGAGATACCGAGTGGTGGAGCCTTGGCCGATAGCACCCGTTTCTCGGAGCGATGACGACGAGAAAGTAGTGACACAGCTCAGTAGGGCTAATGTGGTAAAAAAAAAAACTAAATAGGTTTTTTTTTTTGGCTTCCTACCTCCGGTGGGAGCGGGATGGGTTGCAGGTAAGCGGGCCAGCGAGGCGAGGCTGTGGGTGAGTGTGGTACAGCTTTTGGCGTGTACCTCCGGTGGGAGCGGGATGGGTTGCAGGTAAGCGGGCCAGCGAGGCGAGGCTGTGGGTGAGTGTGGTACAGCTTTTGGCGCGTACCTCCGGTGGGAGCGGGATGGGGTGCAGGTAAGCAGGCCAGCGAGGCGAGGTTGTGGGTGAGTGTGGTACAGCTTTTGGTGCGTACCTCCGGTGGGAGCGGGATGGGGTGCAGGTAGTAGGCCAGCGGGCGAGGGTGCGCGTGGGTGTGGTAGAGCAGCAGCCGGTGCTGCTCTTCGTAACGTGGGGCTCGACGCTCGACTCGCGCCGCGCCGAACCACGCCCACGACAGCGGCGCCGGGTTCTTCTGGCCCTCGAACATGTCCCAGGGAGACACCTTCTGCTTGGTGGACACTTGCAGGCCCTGGGGAAGGCGCGGACGCACACAACGGGAGGGTGTGATCGCGCCGTACGGGGCCGGCCGTGCCGTTCGGAGGTGCGGGGGAAGGACGACGAGCTCAACGCAAGAATCAGTTTCCAAAGAAGTGAGTTTTCATATTCTTAGTTCTTTCGGTAAAGTCACGTTGAAGGGAAACAGCAAAATAATAAAATATATATATAAAACACCTGAAGACGACCGTTTGTGTTATGGTCGAAACGTCGTGAGAATTTTTTATTGTTTTATATGTATTTTATTATTTTGTTGTTTCCCTTCAACGTGACTTTACCGAAAGAACTAAGAATATGAATTACTGCAGTCACGAAAGCTTTAAATCAAAATTTAAGTGAGTTTTCAATCGAGATTTAAAAGTGCGCAGCTCCCAGCACCTTCCTAACATCGGAACCTCTGCCTCTCGCCCGGGTCGTGCTGCGGCCGCCAAACCTGCTTCTTGTCGATGGAGTCGAAGCCGGCGATCTTGTTCCCCTTGGTGTCGATGAGGGAGCCCATGGGCTCGCACGTGATGATGTCCACCGTCTGCTTGGGCAGCGGCAACAGCTGGCGCAGTTTGTCGATGCTCTCCGAACGCTTGTCGCCCAGCTCCTTCTGTTAGCACAGGGGGTTCGGCAAACCCAAAATAACGAGAGGATCCATTTTTTTTTTCGAGTTCGGGAATAAATAAAGATAAATCGATATTTCAAGAGCGGCGATGCATGTGAATACCGTCACGGAGCAGCAGTCCTTAAAGAGCCGCATGTGGCTCTGGAGCCGCAGGCTGCCGACCCCCATGTTAGCGGATGCTTAACAATAGCTCGATGAACTGTGAGCATAAAGAACCAATTTGAAGCGGTGTGTCTTATTACCACAACGTTAAGTCTACGGATCCTGCAACAAACCTATGGATCCCGCTGTCAATCTACCTTGAGTTGCAAAGCATTGATAAATAGAGGCCTTCTGGCCACGCCTGGTAATGTGGCACAAGCCGCGGCATATCGGCAGCGCAACTCGACATGCGTATGGAAAAATGAAGTTTCAGTTATCTGCGATCACATCCTCTCAAATTGTCCCCTTTGGTATACAAGGCAACGGAATGTCATTCCAACCTGTTAATATATTGCAGGTTGTGCTCAGGATCCCATTTTCTTCTCTGCATCTATGCCTGTACTACGACTGTACATGTGTCGACTATAATGCACTCCCCCCCGTTGAACAAATGGTAAATATTTAGGGATTGTCTTTAAATTCGCAGTGCTTCAGCTTAACTGGCAAATTGATAAAGCCAGGGAGGCACGACCTTGCCAATGACAAACTAGAATTTTAAGTCGCAGCCTTGCGTGCGAAGAAACATGACTCTGTTTGCGCTTACTAAACTAAAGTTGTTATTTTACCAGGTACGGCCAACTGAGCTGGATAGCTCTTTTCCAGAAGTGACCTGGCTATCACAAACAATAGCTCAACGAAGTGGCTTATCACGAGGAAATTTACAACAAATACTCGAAACGCAAGTTTCTAAATGCGCAGGGAAAAAGCGGAGGACCCGGAGAAAAATCCACGCGACCACGGGGAGAGAGACACCACAAACTCCAAAAATATGCAGGCGTCGTTATGGTCGGGGTCGAACCCACGACGTCCTGCATGCCGGGCGACGTTGTTAACGTCGCCTGGTATGGCGTCGGCGGCGTCGGCGCTCACCTTCAGCTTCTTGACAAGGTTCATGTAGGCGCGCTTGTTCTCCTCCATGATGCCCTGCGAGATGCTCGAGAGGTCCGAGGCCAGCGTGCCGTTGATGAGCACACCGATCATGTCGAGCACCGTCGTGAAGAGCTCACTGTCGCGCGCACACCGCCCAAACGTGCGGACACGCCGCGCTCGCGGGTCGTTAAAACGTGAGTGGAAAACCTTTGCCTTACCGCGGGGGCTGAAGGAGGATCTAAAATAATGTTGGTGGGCATCCGCACGTCACAACAGCTGGCAAAATACAGCAGCAGACAACCCCCCCCCCTCCCCCCCCTTCTGTCTAGTGGAGGAAGTTTTTATGGAATGCGTGGCCACGACTCACTTGTTGGTCTGTACATCTACGGTGCCCGTGCTGACGATCTGCAGCAGCAGCACCGCCCACTCGGTCGTGCACTGCGAGCTGCGCTGGACCGTGTCGAACATCCCTCCGACCTGTGCGGTGCCAGCGACAAGTGGGATTTCGGTGGGGTGAGTGGGGGTAAGACAGACCGGTAAATTTCACTATCATTATGAATGAATAATAATACTTTCATTTAATACGGTATCATTCATGCTAGTAGCATCCCATAACGCTGTAGATTAATTGTAAAGTGAGGGAAAAAATTATTTGATCCCCTGCTGATTTTGTATGTTTGCCCACTGACAAAGAAATGATCAGTCTATAATTTAATGGTAGGTTTATTTGAACAGTGAGAGACAGAATAACAAAAAAATCCAGAAAATCGCATGTCAAAAATGCTATAAATTGATTTGCATTTTAAGAAATGGCACCGAAACAATAAAGCGCAAACAACAACAAAGTTATCACAACAAAGTAATTAATCCACAAGGTCTACCACACATCCCGGAACACAAACCCCAACTTCCCGACCAAGCCAGTAAACCTTCCATTAGGGGTGGTGGTGGCGGAGTGCCAAAAACAGTTACGATAAATTTACATCAATCGGTCCAATGTCCAAAAAGCGATTGCGCATTTTTCAGCGTGTGCCTGGATGAACAAATAGGCCATCAGTTGAGGACTTGAACAACACTGCGATGGAGCTGATTTGTCGGAAGTGGAGTGGGAGGGTATTCCAGGCTGCAGGGGCTGTGCATGAGAAAGCGCATCACCCAGTGGCCTTAAGTTTTATTTTTTGAGTCTCAAGACATTTTGCAGTGGAGGTCAATGGTGATGTGTGTGGTGCCGATTGAGTAATTTGCAGGTCAATTTTTTTGCTCTGCTATGTTTGGACCAATGTTCTCGTGCTATGGGAGGAAACTGGCAAACAGAGGAAACGCATGCAGAATAGTGGCAGAACGCACAAACCCCACGCAGAAAGGAACCCGTGTCAAGAATTGAACCCAGGCCCTCTTCTTAACCTTGGAGGCACGAGAGTTACCACTGCGCCAGCCCTGCCGCCCCGCAAACACGCATTGGAAGCAGCTACACCATACGGAGATGAAAATGGCATAGAGCTGCTCGCCTATGGAGGGGGGGGGGGTGTGGGCCTGACCACAGAAAGGTCACGCTGGTGTTAACGGTGAAGGGTGTCCCCCGTCGTACCAGGTTGAGACGAAGCTGCAACGCCTCGTGCATCATCTGCCGAGCCTTCATGTCGTCCTGGTACCGCTCCTCCTGCCAGTTGCTCACGATCTGCGGCAGGGATCGGCCACGCGCAAGCGTCGGCAAAACATGCGCGCATGTGTAAGCGGGCAGACACGAAAGAGCATCCGCGCGATGTGTTTAGCTCGGAGTAAAATGGCTGGGTTTAAATCGGAAAGGCCTCCTTTAATTTTTGGTCAACAATTCAACATCTGGCACATTTTAAAAATTCAGAAGCAGGGGATATTAAAGGCAGCCTGACAATATATGGCTTAGTGGATTGCGGTGAGAATAATTATTTCATGAAATGTTTCAGAATTGTTCTATTATCGTGCCTGCTGATGACGCCTCTCACAATTATCATTCAAATGGTTAATTCACCTGGTTGACTTGGTTCTGCAGAGACGTTAGGAGGCTCTCCCTCTGCTCATCCTGGCCCTTGAGACAGGTGAGCACCAGGGACAGGAAGGGCTGCTGGCTCAGCAGCGACATGCTGCGGCGGACACATCACGCGCGCGCAGACACGCACACGTCCCACTCTTTATTGCTCCCTGCCCCCCCCCACTCCTCCATGCTCGTGTGTGTACGAAGAACTTCTTTCGCACCGTACGTAGCCAACCGCGCTAATCGGAAGTGCGGGGGAAGGACAACAATGTAAAAAGGCAAAAAGCAGTTCCCGTATCGGTGATAGGGCAGCGGGCGTCAGCCAAAACCGCCCACTGCCCACATGCACCAAATGGGAGAGAACCCCACAAATACGTCAATGTCATTTTTAACCCTTTTCAACAAACGTTGAAAGCTTAAAACGTAACGTATCTCGTAGACATCACTGGTCCTGAGCCTGAAATGCAGATCTGAGCCTGAAATGCGGATCCCGCATTCCCATGGCAGGGTCAGGTCCATTCTTGTTCGGCATAAACGACCTGTTGGCTTCCCACCGAGTGGTGGAGCCTTGGTCGACAGCACCTACTTCTCCCCCAAATAGCGTATACAGACTGTCGGCGTAATTGCTGTTTGCGAGCACCTATGAAGGCCAGCACTGCACATTAGGGGGGCGATGTAGTTAGCACCACGCCCAGTCGCATTTATCTCCCCAGTGGTGATGATGAAACACCACGCCAGATACACATTTGAGGCTGAGTTGATCTAGGGGGAGGGCCCAGGACCGGTTCAAATAATCGTCACTGGTGTTGGCCGTGAGTGGGAATCGAACCCGGGTCGCCAGGTTCATAGCGCAGCGCGCTAACCGCTACACTACCGCTCCCCACACACACACGCACACCGTGTACACGCACACACACACGTGCGCGCTCGCATACCTCTTCTGTTTCTGTCGGTCGCGCTCCTTCTTGGAGGAGGACCCGAGGTGCTGGCCCTTCTCCAGCTCCTCTCCGGCCGCCTTGAGCACGCGGCCTTGCACCGAGCTGGGCAGCTTGGCGATGAGCGGCGCCACCAGCCACACGCCCTTGCGCTCTGACGAGCTGCTCGTAAAACAACAAAAAAAAGCGGGTCCCTTCCGCGATCAAGGTCGCCCACCGTTCTCGCTTCTTCCCTCGCGCCCGCTCGACTTTGGGATTCCTTCCGATCGTCTTTCCCCCCCCCCCCCCCCATGCTCCGATTAACCTCGCTCGGTTAAAGAACCGTGTTAACGCCTGCTGAATGACAAGTTTCACCGCGCTGTTTTTGTTTGCGACTGACATTTTTTGGGCCTTGTGCTCGGCAACTTTGTAAAAGTATCTATTTTTGAAACGTTACTTTGGGCCCTCCCCCATATAAACCTAATGTCTCTGCACCGTGGTTCCCACATCGGTGGGGCAGCGAGCCCAGATTTCGGCACGACAGATTTCTGGTCGTGCCGAAATCTGGCCGCTGTTCGCCGAGTTTCTGTTCCCCCCCCTGTGATCGGCGCTTTGTACTGGGCTCGCGTTGAGTTGTCATGAACAAGAACAAAAATTATGTTACCGTGGCTAAAGCTGTTTGTGCCACCGCACATTGACAACGCTCTCTGCGCTCTGCAGGATCTGGCAGGATCTGTGCCGTCGGCACGCGACCTCCAAGAACTGCCCTAACCCTTTTTTTCCAGGCACCCATTAAAGCATTGTGCATACATCCATTACCCTACCGACAGAAATTTCAAGTCGGCTAGTTGGATAACGATTTGTATCTATGTGGCAACTCAAAGCGCCTTACATGTCATCTCAGCCGTTAGACAATGCCTTGCTGTAATCTGGCCAAGGAGGCCACCAGTTGCTAGCCGCCTGTAAGAGGCACGGAGTAAACGCAGCACCAGCCAGCAAGTGGGCATTAGACTACCGGTCCGGGGGAGGCCAGTTGCGATGCGGTTTTTTTCCCCAAGTCAAGTAATTTTCCCGTCGTGATTCACCAAATTGGGATTATTTTTTTTTTACAATATCCACCGCGAAGCAGACGGCGGTTATTTTACGGTCACCGAACCGGCAGCATTAACTAGGGCAGCCGCCGGGGGCACCGAACCGTGGACCTCCGCAACTGTAGCGGCGAACGCGCCGCAGCTGCTCGGCCACGCCGCCGCCAAGCAACGCCGACAGATGTGGCCGGGCCCGACCTGAGGAAGGGCTTCTTCTTGGCGGCCGCGGCTGCGTTCTGCGCAGCATCGCTGCTGCCGACACCTGTGCCAGGGCCGCCCCCTCCGTGTCCCAAAAGGCCGAGCGACATGAGGTTGGAGGAGCTGTTCATCTCGGCCGACTGCTGGAAGACTTCGATGGTCACCTTGGCTATGTTCTCCAGGAGGTTGTTCATTTCCTGGACGCGCACATTTATGACGGTGTGTTGGGGTCTTACGCAAACCAACAACAGTGATAAAACTTAGGAGTTACTTAAAGGCGCACATAATAGTGGTACTACAATGTAGGAATGGTTATAACCTAACATGTACTTCAAAAGTGGTTTAATGTAATGAGAAAGACGGTTATAGCTCTCTGATAGAGCAGGGGACTTTTACAGGAGGAGGAGCGAAAACATTGGACATCATGTCAAACAGCACACGGCACAACCCAAAATACACATTGGAGAGCCACACAGAAACAAAACCAAAAACCTCATGTGTGGTAAACACTGTTTTCGGTCCAAAAAAGCGAGGAGGTTAAATGTTTTGCTTTGTACATTTTTAGGTAACTAAAATGACAGGCACCTGAAGGAGTTGTTCAAAAATATGTTTTTAACCATTTCATATTCCAGCTCAATGTGAACTTACGGAGTTGTGACACTGCTTAATCATCAGCTGCAGCTCCAACCACGACTGCCTGAGCGTCCACTGGTCTAGGTGCTGTCGACAAAAAAACCACATCGCAGTGTTAGATACAAACGGATAGACACCATCAACTGGCTGCATGATCGGAGGGCAGAAAGTGGTGTCTGTCCAGCGTGGAAGAGTAGGCCAACTACTCTCTAGAAGAGGCCCTTCCGCTAGAAGCGGTGTAAGGAAGCATTAGCAGGGCTGAACATTTACCTATTTTCATATTATCCGATTAGTCGGGGAATTCGACTGATAATCGGGAGAGTAATTGATCACTTCTATAATCGAATAGCCCTGTTCAAGAACCCAGCTGGCCACAGCTGACGTATGCATCCAGAGAGTGGAAGTGTCGTGGTTAGCCGACTGTGCTACAAACCCAGACACCCGAGTTCGATTCCAACTCACGTCCAATATCTGTGACTAATATCCAAACTGGTCCGAGGCTTCCCCTAGATTGACTCGGCCTTAAATTAGTACCTGTTGCAGAGTGTGTACGTCAGCACTGAGAAGATGAAGTCGGCAGGGTGCGGTATTGACCACCCACCCTCTCGTCTGCCATGCTGGCGATTATAGGTGCTCGCTAATAGCAATTGCCCAAACCGCCTGTATAGGCTAAACTTTGTGTGCCTATGCAAGTGTGTGTGTGTAGTGGTTAGCGCACAGCGCAATGAACCCAGCAATCCGAGTTTGATTTCCGCTCACGACCAACACCAGTGACTATTATCTGAATCGGTCCTGGGCCTCCCCGTGGTCGACTCAGCCTCAATGAGTACCTGGTGCGGTGTTTAAAAACATTGCCACTGGGGAGACAAAGGCGTGGTTGCTGGCCACCCACCCCCTCGTGTATCGTACTGGCCTTCAAAGGAGCTCGCGAACAGCACCTGCTCCAACAGTCTGTTACAGGGTATACGGGGGGGGGGGACCTTCGTTTTTGTGTGCGTGTGTGTACACGTGGCACCTGGGTCTGTCCCGTGATCTCCCGCCAGTGGGCGTTCAAGACTTCACGTAGCCTTAAAGCGCACCTGGCCTGGCAAGAGCTCCGTGGTGACGTCAACCGCCACTTACGTGTCGAATGGTGGTTGTTGTTGTTGTTGTGATGCGCGAGATCGTGCCGACCTGCAGGATGCGCTTGATGCGCTGCCTCTGCGGGTTGTCCGAGTCCTGCGCATCGGGCAGCCCGTGGGGGTAGCAGATGAGCTGCAGCAGGTGCTGCGCCTGCTTGTTGGAGAGCACGGGGTCCAGCAGCAGGTCCTTGTCGTCACGCAGCGACTCGGGCTCCTTCAGGCAGCGCTCGCCCACCCACTCCTGAGGACGGACGGACAAGGGAGGTGGGGGGGGGGGGTTATGGGAAGGGGAACCGTGCGGGGCCAGCCCAGGCCAGAGCAGGCTCACTGCAACGAGACGGCAAGCCGGGACGCCGAAGGAGTCCACGCTGTCGTTAGGGGATGTCTACAGACTCGGCAGCCGAGGACACTCGGAGCGAACGGTGCGTTCGATAGCGATTGGTCCTCGTGTGCGTCGTTGTCTTTGTGCCGTGCGTGCGCAGTCGCTGGGGGCAGCACCTGCTGGCAGATGGTCTTGAGCGCGAACTTGGCGTACTCGCTGAGGCTCGCCGTCTCGATGGCGGTGACGCGCCCGCCCGGCCGGGCCCCTTTGCCGCCACCGGGGCCGCCGGCACCGGCACCCCCGGCGCCGCCGCCGCCGCCGCCGCTCAGGACCTCGTCGTCGGCGGCGTCGTCGAGACCCCGGATAGGCGCCAGCAGGCTCGCCACGCTCACGTCGTCGCCGTGCGAGCTGTGCAGGCCTTGCCCACCCAGATCAATGTCGCCTACGGAAGGAATGGCAAGGGCGCAGAGGGGCCATGAAGTGTTGATGATGAAGACGAGCAGAGGTCTGCAGTGCAGTAATTAGTGGCATCGAAGGTCGTAGGAGCTGTGAGAATAAATCACATGAGAGGTCTCCACAGCGAGTACTCGAAAAATCATGCACGCGCATGGATTCCATAAAGCGTTGGAAGAATTTGATTAACAACATGGAAGCTAACGGGTAAATCTATCAGGGCATAATATGTTTGCATATTTGCAAAAAGTTAATTTATTCCTGGTTTATATCTCGACATTTTGGGCAACTCTTTGAGCAATCTGGCCCGTTTTTCATAGTGCGATTCCCTCACTGCGATGAGCACGGTTGGCCACGTACGGTGCAAAAGAAGTTCAACGTACATACGTACGTACACAGCAACGGAACTCTGTTCTAAATTTTCACTCGTATTGGAGACCTATTGTGGAGCCCCCCAGCCCCGCCTGCCCACCCCGCCCCCCTCCGACTTTACGGAACAGCAGGAAGATCCGTTCATTAGTGAGGGGACCGTGTCTCACCGAGCATGAGGATGGCCTTGAGCACAGCGAAGACAGCCCCCACCTCGATGCTGTTGTGAGCCGCGGCCAGCAGATGCCGGTCACACGATGAGCGGATGCCAGGGCTGGACTTACCTGGGTAGGGGGGCGAAGGCGGTGGGGGAGGGGGGTGGGAGGAAGAGTTGCGTTAAAGGGGCAACGCTTGCTCGCAATGACCACTTTACAAAAGAGGTTCCAGACAAAGCGTCTCTTCTGTGCTCAAACGAACACCAGGGGCTGTGCTCACGCCTCTATCGGTGAACCCGAGCTATTGGTGGACATTCCACACTGCTACGAAGAAAGCCAGTCCTCTCTGTCTCTCTCTCTCTCTAGGACGAGCAGTTCTCGACTTCCTCATCTTTATCAATGTACATTTTAGTGCGCTACAGATGACGGGAAATTCTACATTGCCATGGTTGTGCGAAAACACAGGCGGCTACACGAACATCGGGTGTGCGACATCACCTCCTGGCGGCGTGGACGGCGTGACCTGAGGAGTTTTGAAGAGGTGCAGCAGCAGACGGCAGGTGAGCCGAGCTCCGGGTTCTGCGTCAGAGTCTCCGCACACAGCTGCACGAGGAAACACGACGCGTACGTAACACGTTTAACTAATTTTGCACCGTACGTAGCCAACCGTGCTAATCAGAGGTGCGGGGGAAGGACTATAAACTATAGGTCTCTGTGCGAGTCCATGGATCTCTGTGTGAGCATTATGTAGGTATGTTGAACTTCTTTCGCACCGTGCGTAGCCGACCGTGCTAATCGGAGGTGCGGGGGAAGAACAATCACAAAGCTCGCCGGAAATGTTCGAGGTTCAAGCCCGGCGGCCGCACCGGTTAATACTGTGTGCGTCGTAACCTCGAAATAAGCGGTGTCTGTATCATGGTGGGCGTTAAATATTCCGTGAAGTTGTGATAAAAAAAAGAGTAGTTCGCGATTGCCTCGCGTCACGCTTCAAATTTTCCAAATCCTGAATTAATTTTACGATTTCGTAAATGAGACAATCCACAATGCAACATCGCCCCCCCCCACACCCCCTACTGGCAGAACATGCTTGTGATGGGCAAAGCAGAACTCTACAGAAATAGAACATGGCAGGGTAAGTGTTGTACAAATAATTCGGCAAAAAATAAAGTTGCACTGGGTGGAACGTGTGTGCCCAACGGAGGAGGGCCGAGTGCCAAGGCAGCCAATGGGACGGTCTCCACGTGTCAGGTGACCAAGGGGAAGACCTAAGACCAGACGGTTGGATGCTGTTAGGGGCAGTTCTTGCAGGTTGCATGTCTCCTGTGCAAACATCTGTGAGATCTGGCAGAGGGCATAAAGAGCTGACGACGTGTGGTGGCATCAACGGCAATGGAGTGCCACGGTGGCAGAATGCAAAATGTTAACTACCACACCTAGTATACAGGAGGTTGTGGGTTCGATCCGGATCAAGACGCCTATATATTTGGAGTTTGCATGTTCTCCCCGTGTTCGTGTGGATTTTTCTCTGGGTCCTCTGCTTTTTTCTCTCCACATTTAGAATCGACGTGCGTTTAAGAGTATTTGGCTGCTATACATTTTCACGTGATGAGCCATGAGCTATCGTTTGTGGCCAGGTCTCTTATGAAAAAGCGATATATATATATCTCAGTTGGCCTTATCTGGTAAAATAAAAATAGTTTAGTTTAGCCATGATGATATCTTCATCGAGTGGCAACGATTTGAGCCACAAGGCACTAGATATGGGGTGGGGGGGGGGGTGGAATCCAGTGGGCACCACTCACCGGCGAGGAGGGAGGGCAACGCCACGTGCTGAATGACGTCCTCAAGCGAGAAGCTCTGGCGAGCGATGAGGATGGCGATGAAGGTGGCTAGCGAGTCGTGGAATGACAGGTCGCTCACCTGCACGGCCAGACAGGAGCAGTGCAGTCGACACCAAGCGCCAAGAAACATTTCGTAAGAATATTATTTCATAATCGCTGGCGATGCATTCAATATGAGAAACTTGGTAAGGCAGCAGTAAAGCGTGACGGATGAGAGTTCTGCCTGGTCCATAAAAACAGGATTTGATAGAGTGTCTGATTAACAATGACTGGCGGACAGAGCACACAATCCCAGGCAGTCACGTGACCTCTGCCTGTGATCCGATTGGAAGATTCCAATCGAATTGCCACGATGGAAAGCAGAGATCGCATTTGCGAAGATTTGGGCAGCGATATTTTTTGAACTGCTCAGAAAATATTTCCCTGAAATGTCCCTTGGGTAGAATAAAAACGTACCTAACTTGAAAACTAGACAATCACAACAGCCAACGAGAATACAAACAACTGCTGGATGGGAGGCGATCCTATGTTGGTCGTGATAGTTTTTTGAATCTACTTCACAACACTGGTTGATACGGGAAGGTGAACGAGGAGTGAGACACCACTTTTAGATATCACTTGCCACTCATGTTAGCCGTGGCCAAGATTCGAACTCAGGACGTGAGGTTGAAAATTACATGAAGCCTGAATAGTGTTGCATCGACATAATTAACCCCATGTCCCTTCACTCACCTGGGCAATACGGTTCAAAAACGTGACAAATTTAAAAAAAGATAAATTAACCCTTTCCCATTCCGATGACGTACGTGTACACGTCATCAGTTTCATCAACGAAAATAAAAAAAAAACATCATCGGTACGTCTTCAGGTCGGAAGACATACCGAGGCTTCCACAAGGACATGCGGGAGGGCATGTGGCACAGTTTGGCGCAAGCTATCGTAGAGTGTGGTCTTGTCGCTCCAGTTCTCTGCGGCGAGTACAACGTGTTTAAAAACAACTGCGCTGCTACGCCTCTCGAAATAAAAACAACGCCGAGCCGCCCGCGCGTTCCCAGATTCGGCGGTGAACGGGGGACCCCCCACACCCAGCAACTTGCAGACGTCTCGGGAACGGCAAAGGGGTTAACAACTCACGTCAACGCTGCACAGGAGGTCATTGAAGCCGCAGCCGTGGTTGGAGGAGTAGCAGAGGGCCTTGAGCACCCCCAGCCACTCGGAGCTCAGAGTGGTGCAGCACGCGGTCAGCTCGGCGCACAGGTTCCCCACGTCGTTTATCCTTCGCGAATGAACGCCAACGAAGACCGAACCAAAACGGGACGCGCGTTTCAGAGGCCTGTCAGTAACGGCCACTCCCTTGCGAACAGCACCCGACGGATCATCACGACGACGTACAATCAACCCCCCCCCCCCCCCAAGGGTCGTCCAATTGGCCTTCCAACCGTAAGTTGCAATCACAATTATCAAGTCCTGAATCGAAAGGGCTCCGTTTAAACTCATTATAAACACTCGCCCCCAAGCCTGATCCACAATACCTCGTTGATCTTGTCAAAGAGCATCAACCATCATGCGGACTCCAGTCACCCTCGCAGCAACAGCGCCATTTGGCTTAGCCGTCGAACAAAGACGGTGACAGCATCGCGTGCGCAGACGCGCTTCTGCGGCCGTCTGGAGTGCTCTTCCTTACGATATTAAGAAGCCAATGGAGCTATGCACTTTTAAATAATCTAGATTGAAAACTAATTTTTTCAGAACCGCCTTTTTGCGTTAAGTGGTCCTTCCCCCGCACCTCCGATTAGTACGGTTGGCTATGTACGGTGCGAAAGAAGTTCAACATGCAAACATACATCCAACGTCTTAATCCTGATATGAAACATCAAACAACTCAATAGGGAATCACTCCAACCCCTCCGCTGCTCCTATTACCCCAATAACTGTACCCTTGACCGGCCTTATTTATATCGCCCCAAAGCTTCCTGCTATCGTAAGCTTGTGGTTTTTACACCCACCCAGAACTTGATGCGGTTTTCATCGTAATCAGTTTAACGCTCAAATGAATGAGCTTTACTGAAACTATGCGGGCTACGTAGGGTGGGGCGGTGGGTGGGGGGGGTATACGCCCGGCGCGAACTCACCGATCCGTATCCTGGTGGCCCGTGCAGATGTGCATGAGCGCGTTGCACACGAAGCTGTAGCGGTGGACCGCGCTGTCATGCAGCACCTTGCCGAGCAGCGAGTAGTTGATCTGCGTGTCCGGGTGCTCGATGTAGTCCTGCATGAACTCGGGGTCCCACAGCAGGTTGGACGTGGAGGGCGTCACGCTGCAGTAGATGGTTTGCTTCACTTTGGAGCAGGCGCCACTGCGGACACGGGGAGCGACACCGCCACCAGGGCCGTCACACTGCTACCGCCACCCGCAGCCGCCACGAGCCACTACTGCAACGGACACCACCACCACCACCACCACAGCCGCAGCTACCACAGTCACTACAACCACCGTAACCGATGCTATCACAGTTGCCACTGACTGCTGCATCGACCACAACCTCCAAAGCCACCACACAATCACCGCAACCGATGCTCTCATCAGTAGCTACTGCTGCATCAGCAACAACAGCTGCAACCACCACCGCCATCACGGCCACATCAGATACCACAATTGGCAGGTGGTCGTGTGGCTCTGGGTCAAACACTGGTGTTGGGCAAGGGCTTGTTCAGACGTGCATTTTGTCAATCTCCGATTAGCACGGTTGGCTACGTACGGTGCAAAAGACGTTCAACATCCATACATACAAACTCCAGTCCCTTGGTTGGAAAGCCTTACAAACCAGCGGCATCGGCAGAAAGCCAGGACGACAGCTGCCTTGCACCCTGCTCACCTTAAGAGGTCCCCAAATTTGCTCTTGAGGTGGCTGCAGGACACGCACAGGTCGTACAGGTACGCGAGAATGCAGCGCTCGGGGGAAGAGCAGTCCGAAGGGTTGGCCACGTGCTTCACCACGCCGCACAGCCTGCCGGAATGCAAATGTGAGTGTGGCGATGACAACAGCAAGGGTGCCACAGTGGCGAGATGTTAACTACCTCGCCTGGTATACAGGAGGTCGTGGATTCATCACTCCGCACGGCCTGCCGGGGTGCACAGCGAGTATAAAGATGACGACGGCAAGGGCGCCACGGAGGCGAGATGTTAACTACCTCGCCTGGTATACAGGAGGTCGTGGATTCATCACTCCGCACGGCCTGCCGGTGCGCACAGCGAGTGGGGAGATCATGACGGCAAAGGCGCGGCACATGGGGGTGTTTAGTTGTCTCTTTTACACTTGTATACATGGATGTTGAACTTCTTTCGCACCGTACGTAGCCAACCGTGCTAATCGGAGGTGCGCGGGAAGGACAACATAATTCACCGTAGTTGATTAAAAGCCCACAACGGAAGCTCACTGAGAAATGGGATCTATCCTGTACAAGGACAATGGAGCTAAAAGATGCGAGATGATGATGTTGATGATGATGGAATACACAGTAAACTCTCGATTTATCTGAAATATTGGGGGAGGCCTGGATTAAAAAAAACGGTTAATCGAAAACCTCAGTAAAATTAAGCTGTGAAATGTATATGTTTCATAGGGAGTGAAGATGTGTCATCTGTGTTTATTGCTTCTTGAAGAGAAATTGGTCGTCCAGCTGACGTGTTTGTGGTCACATGGTTAATGAGCCACTGACCCCCAACGAGTGAGGAGCAGCTGATAATTATTAAACCAGCGTGCAAGTAAACATTAATATTATTTGGTTGTGTGTGCGGCTGTGATGGTGGCTGTACGGACAGCTATGATAGAGACTATGACAGCACCAATATGGGAGATGGTGGCTGTATGGGCAGCTGTGACGGAGGTTGAAATTGTTGTTCTGACGGTGGCTGTATGAGTAGATGGTAGCTGTACGGACAGCTATGACGGGGAGTGTGATGGTTGTCAAGCTGTATGGGTGCCTAGGGACTGTGAACTGTGGTGACCGAGCCTCTCACCCCTCGAACACCTGCGCTGTCTGGTCCGGCCCGAGCAGCAGACAGGCGTGGTAGTGACGCAGCACAGCCACGATGCACAGGCACAGCCCCGTGGTGTAGCTCCCAGCCAGGCTCGACGACTTCAGCAGCAGCTCTGCCTCCACTACGCTCAGCTCATTCAGCAGCTGCAGGAGACACAGCAGAACGCATGCAAGCAGTAGAACCGTGCCCAGGGACTGCCCACCTCCCACCCACCTTCTACCACGCTCAGCTCATTCAGCAGCTGCAGGAGACACAGCAGAACGCATGCAAGCAGTAGAACCGTGCCCAGGGACTGCCCACCTCCCACCCACCCACCTTCTACCACGCTCAGCTCATTCAAAGCAGCTGCAGGAGACACAGCAGAACGCATGCAAGCAGTAGAACCGTGCCCAGGGACTGCCCACCTCCCACCCACCTTCTACCACGCTCAGCTCATTCAAAGCAGCTGCAGGAGACACAGCAGAACGCATGCAAGCAGTAGAACCGTGCCCAGGGACTGCCCACCTCCCACCCACCTTCTACCACGCTCAGCTCATTCAGCAGCTGCAGGAGACACAGCAGAACGCATGCAAGCAGTAGAACCGTGCCCAGGGACTGCCCACCTCCCACCCACCCACCTTCTACCACGCTCAGCTCATTCAAAGCAGCTGCAGGAGACACAGCAGAACGCATGCAAGCAGTAGAACCGTGCCCAGGGACTGCCCACCTCCCACCCACCTTCTACCACACTCAGCTCATTCAGCAGCTGCAGGAGACACAGCAGAACGCATGCAAGCAGTAGAACCGTGCCCAGGGACTGCCCACCTCCCACCCACCTTCTACCACGCTCAGCTCATTCAGCAGCTGCAGGAGACACAGCAGAACGCATGCAAGCAGTAGAACCGTGCCCAGGGACTGCCCCCCCCCCCCCACCCACCTTCTACCACGCTCAGCTCATTCAAAGCAGCTGCAGGAGACACAGCAGAACGCATGCAAGCAGTAGAACCGTGCCCAGGGACTGCCCACCTCCCCTTCTACCACGCTTAGCTCATTCAAAGCAGCTGCAGCAGATACAGCGGAAACGCATGAGAGCAGTTGAACTGTGCCCAGCGATTGTCTCCTGTTACACGTTCGACTCATTCAGCAGCTGCAGCAGACACAGCAAAACGCATGCGAGCGTTAAAACCGTGCCCAGGGACTGTCTCCCCCCCCACTACCACGCTCAGCTCATTCGGGATCACCGTAAATTCTGTGTCCCCTTCCCTTGTTAGGGTTCATGCTTTGTACCTCGGGAATCTTGTAAAAAAAAGTATGCAATTCAGCAGGCAGCCAAGAAGGGAGGGGGGGGGGGGCAGCACCTGGATGACAAAGTCGATGAGGCCGTGGATGTTGAGAGAGTGCTCCATGATGTCGAAGATGAACTGGATGTGCTGCACCAGCGGCAGGTGGTATGACGTCCCCGATGCGAAGCTCGTGATCTGCTCGAGCACATTGCTGGCGACCTGATGAACACAACAATAATAATACTTACATTTTATACATAGCGTCATGCATGCCGACAGCATCCCACAACGCTGTTCATTAATTACATATAAGGACCAAATGCCATCCCTCAGTGGTTGGCTACGGACGGTGCGAAAGAAGCCCAACAAATACAAAGATCTCCGTATAGCCTGAACGACTGTTGGGGCAAGTGCTGTTAGCAAGTAGCACCTACGAAGGCCGGCAAGGCAACGCGAGGTGGACAACACCATGCCCGTCCGCCTTTGTCTGCCCAGTGGCGATGTTTTTACACACCACACCAGGTACTCATTTGAGGCTGAGTCGACCTAGGGGAGGCCCAGGACCTGCTCAGATAATCGTCACCGGTGTTGGCCGTGAGCGGGAATCGAACTCGGGTCACCGGGTTCATCGCGCAGCACGCTAACCGCTACACCACCGCTCCACCACCACTCCCCCTCCCCCCACACACACACACACACACGTACACACCAAGCAAATGAAAACCCCACTATCGAGCAAAGTAAAAAATGAATAAACAAATTAAGAAGTGGCACCAAAACAAAAAGCACACAAAAAACAAAAAAGTTACCAATACAGTGACACGAGATGGCGCACCAGGCTTCTATAGAAGCTGCAACTATCCACTGTTAGAATAATCTAATCATCCCACCTGTGTGTCATTGCTTGGCTTTGATTAATTGAATACGAGCGTCGGGATAATTCACGACGTTTTTGAGCAGACCAAAACTTTCAACAAGTGCGTTGTCAAACACCGAATAATCCATGCACGTTAGAGAGTGCATGCCTGTGGGTGCAAGCTTCCGCTCCTCCTGAAATAAGAGACTTGTTTAACAGACTGGCTCACCAGCTTGTTTCCAGGAATTAATTTACAATTCGTATTCTTTGGTTGTTTCGGTAAAGTCACGTAGGTATAAAATAAAATAAATCAAGACGTTTCGATTGCAACATCACGATCACGACGTTTTGATTGCAATCGATATGTCGTGATTTATTTTATTTTATCCTCATCATTATGATTGCTTGTGTTGCAATCGAAACGTGATTTATTTTATTTTCTACCTACGTGACTTTACCGAAAGAACCAAATAGTATGGATTCCTGCAGTCACGAAAGCTTCAAATCTAGATGCAATTTGTAATTTATACATATTAATATATAGTGACTTGCTTAGCTTTCCTATACTTTGCACAACTATCTTGTTTTCGTACTGTCTGCTGTCATAACTTCCTGACCCGCCCCCTACTGGACATCTGTGAAAACGAGCTTCATAGTCTAAATCAAGATTCTGATTCAATACGGGGGATCTTTGTCTTTGAAACTGTCACCCTATTGATGACTGGCAAGCGAAAATGGTTAACCCCATTTGTGGAGAGAATCAGATTCAGAATATTTACTTATCCTGGAGGAATCTGATGCGCTAGGAAGATCTGTCCCACAGATGTCGAGTTGTTTTCACAGATGCCCAATCGTACACACCGCTGGCCACAATGTGTAATGTGCTTGTGCCAGCGCGTACCTGCGAGGTGACCTGGTGCTGATCGAAGTAGGAGAGCTGTTGGAAGCGAGAGAAGATGCCTTCCAGCGTCGGGAAGGATTCCGGCTTACTCCTCTTGCTCTTCTGATTCTCCTCCCCTGTAATGGCACAACTTCGGCTCGCATCCGCCACGCTGCACAGTCCGGCCGACAAGACCACAGCTTGGGCGACAAGACACAGCCTCGGGCGGCAGGGCACAACCAATTCGGTAAGACAAACCAGCTGTTACTAAAGCTGAAAATATACAACCCAGCTGACATGACACAGCCCAGCTGACAAAGCATGACAAGGTGGTTATGCACAGCCCACGTAATAAGACATGTCCATCTGACAGCACACAGTCATGCAAAAAAGCATAGCCAAACAAATGACAAAGCATTAAAAAAAGCTGGTTGAGTCGGCATGCTCAGCCATCGCACAAAACTCTGGTCATCCCCGCAGCGGCTTTTGGCGAACCACTGAACAAAGACGGTCACGCATGGCGAGCTTTCAGATGCACTTTTGCGGCCGTCTGGAATGCCCTTCCTTCCAATATTAGGGAGCCATTGGGAGCTATGCACTTTTAAATCATCTAGATTGAAAACTCATTTCTTTGGAACTGCTTTATGCGTTTAGTTTATTGTCCTTCCCCTGAACACCTGCGATTGGCTACGTACGGCGCGAAAGGCCAAAAAAAAAACCGTACGTACACAGCCAGTTGATGAGATGGGTTGTTCAGAAAGACAAACGGGCCACAGTCCAAAAGAGCCACAGTCCAGGTGTGACGCAGGTAAGCGATCCCCGGCGGTGCCGGTCACCCTGCAACCCCCCGCCCCTCACCGGTCTCGGCCGTGCTCTTCTTGTTAAGGATCTTGAGGATGTCGCGGGTGATGCGCTTGATGTGGTGCCGCGCCTCGTCGCGCTGGCGCCCAACGCCGTACAGCACAATCAGCCGCTGGTTGCACTCGTGCACCGACGACTCGTCCTGCGTGCGCGGGAGACGCACGCACGCGGTGTAGGGACAGTTAGCGCGGCGGAGGGATGGCCAGCGCGGCTCACCGCTAATATCGTTGGTGCAAGCGGGGATCCAGCTCACCTGCACAATGGGGAAGTGCAGCGCATACTGCAGGTGGCGGGGCAGCTCGTGCGTCGGAGGGAAGATGGGGTCCAGGGGCTTCTCCTTGCGAAGGGGCTTGTCCTCTTTGGTCTGCGTGGGTTTATCCGACGCCGGGCTGGGCTTGGGCTCCGAAGCCAGCGGGTCCGTGTCCAGAGGAGAAAACATCTCCTTCCCATGCACCACCCGCACAGAATTTCAATAACAAGCCCTCGAAGCCGGGCTTCCAGTAGGCCAGAATTGTGGGTATGCCCGAGATTTGCGAAAAAGAGCTTTGCTGTAGAACCCCTCTCGTAACGACCACCCCCGTTGACGACGGCCCTCCATAGAGCCCAATGTGTAGTGTCTAATGTAGTGTACATTCGTGTATAATGTAGTGTAGTGTTTAGCAGTGTAGTGTATGCTAGTGTAGAGTAGAACCCCTCTCGTAACGACCACCCCCATTAACGACGGCCCTCCATAGAGCCCAATGTGTAGTGTCTAATGTAGTGTACAATCGTGTATAATGCAGTGAAGTGTAGAGTAGTACAGTGTATAATAGTGTAGTGTGGTGTATAGTAGTGTAGTGTAGAGTATGAATCCTTGCAGTCACGAAAGCTTCAAATCTAGAATTAGTGTAGAGTAGTGTAGTGTATAGTAGTGTAGTTTATAGTAGTGTAGTTTATAGTAGTGTAGTGTATAGTAGTGTAGTTTATAGTAGTGTAGTGTATAATAGTGTAGTGTAGAGTAGTGAAGTGTATAGTAGTGTAGTGTATAATAGTGTAGTGTATAATAGTGTAGTGTATAATAGTGAAGTGTATAGTAGTGTAGTTTTTAGTAGTGTATAATAGTGTAGTGTATAGTAGTGAAGTGTATAGTAGTGTACTTTATAGTAGTGTAGTGTATAATAGTGTAGTGTAGAGTAGTGAAGTGTATAGTAGTGTATAGTGTAGTGTATACTAGAGTAGTGTGTAGTAGTGTAGTGTATAGTGTAGTGTATAGTGTAGTAGTGTAGTGTATAGTGTATAGTAGTGGTGTTTAGTAGTGTAGTGTATAGTGTAGTGAATAGTGTAGTGTATACTAGAGCAGTGTGGTGTAGTGTAGTGTATAGTGTATAGTAGTGGTGTATAGTGTAGTGTATAGTCTAGTGTATACTAGAGTAGTGTGTAGTAGTGTAGTGTATAATGTATAGTAGTGGTGTATAGTAGTGTAGTGTATAATGTAGTGTATACTAGAGTAGTGTGTAGTAGTGTAGTGTATAGTGTAGTGTGTAGTAGTGTAGTGTGTAGTAGTGTAGTGTATAGTAGTGTAGTGTATAGTGTAGTATATAGTGTAGTGTACAGTGTAGTGTATAGTGTAGTGTATAGCGTAGTGAGTAGTGTATAGTAGTGTATAATGTAGTGGATAGTGTAGTGTATAGTGTAGTGTGTAGTGTATAGTGTAGTGTATAGTGTAGTGTATAGTGTAGTGTATAGTAGTGTATAGTGTAGTGTGTAGTGTGTAGTGTATAGTGTAGTGTATAATGTAGTGTATAGTGTAGTGTATAATGTAGTGGATAGTGGTGTCCTGCCTCCATCGAGCCCAATGCCTTCGCTTCCCGACCATTCCCCTGTTAACGAAGGGCTGTTTAAGGTACAGTAAATATCAATTAACACATTGATTAACCGCGTTCATTTTAATATTATCTGTTTACAATGCTGTAAGTATCTTTACGTATTAATATCAATTGCTTAAATATTATAACGTACGCTTTTTGGGTGAAAAAGGGTCCCGTTCGATGCTATCGGAACTAATTAAGCCTTCAACGTGTATTTCCAATACTCGCTTAACGACCGGTTACGTGGAACCAATTAATGGCGTTAAGAGGGGTTCTTCTGTGTCGCTCACATTCCCCCAGTATAATTAAAGATTCTGATAAAGTGTCAATAAATAAATACATAGAGAAAAACATCAACTTATAGGAACACTGTTCCCACACCAATCAAGCTGCTGGGAGGAGACTGATTTGTGTATTTAAATGGAATTTGGCAAAAATGTACACTTTGATGCCATAGTCATCCCCTTGGTGTTAGTGCTTCGATATATATTGTTTAACTTTACCTTTAAGTTAATCTTATCAACAAAATAAATGCATGAAGTCGGTCAGGATACCTCTGTGGCTCTACGCGTTCAGTGAGCCTCAGACTTGTACGGTGACGAGATGTTAACTACCTCGCCTGGCGTACAGGAGGTCGTGGGTTCTATCCCGACCTTGGAGCCTGTATATTTGGAGTTTGCATGTTCTCCCTGTGGTCACGTGGATTTGTCTCCGGGTCATCAACTTTTTCCCTCCAAAATTAGAAAAATGTATTTAGATTATTTGGGTGATATAAATATCCGCAGAAGCCACTTTGGCGGGCTGTCATTTGTCACTTTAGAGAAAAGGGGCTATATAGCTCAGTGGGCATTAAATGGCGATGGTACGTGACGAAGTTTAAACTGTACGGCAATGTGTTATTTATAATTAAATTGTAAAGATATAATTGTTAATATTTAGTGAATTCTTATTAAGTCTGAATGCAGTACCTAATGTTGTTATTACTTATCCAAATATAATGGGGGCTTTTCTTTGCAATTATTTTACGACATGCAATACCAACCCGGAGGCCATCTGTGGAAAAAAAAGGGCACTAAAGGAATAAAGCCACGTGGTAAATAAAAACTGTCATAGACCTAATCAAATAAAACACATTTTGTGCAGTCACTTATTACCTCAGCCGAAAATAGTGAGTTTAATTGTGCAAGTACAGTAGACTCTCGATTATCTGCGTGCGGTTTGTCCAATTTGTAGCTTTTCCCTTAAGACCAAATTAACAATCTAAAAACATATTCTTAGTTTTTTCGGTAAAGTCACGTTGAAGAGAAACAAGAAAATAACAAAATATATATAAAACAATAAAAAATTCTCACGACGTTTCGACCATAACTCAAACGGTCGAAACGTCGTGAGAATTTTTTATTGTTTTATATATATTTTGTTATTTTGTTGTTTCTCTTCAACGTGACTTTACCGAAAAAACTAAGAATATGAATTACTGCAGTCACGAAAGCTTTAAATCAAAATTTAATCTAAAAACAGTTACACATTGTTATTCTTGTAAATGTGTATTACAAGTCACGTGCTTAAAAGAAAGAAATATGTCCTCCGGTTAATTCGCAATCCATGCGATTGCCTCTACAGTACAGTAGTTGCATATCTTGACAAAAGTGGGCGGAGTTTGATTGATGTTGATTGGCATGGCTCTGCTATCAAACTTAGCGGGCCAAGTCTTCTGCGTGGGAGCAGGAAAGTGTTGTAACTGAGCACGCGCATCGATCGGTCGATCGTTAGTATTGATCATAAATCAAAAGAGTAACAATCTATATTGTCAGTTATGCTTCAATTTATATCTACATTTAGTGTTTTTTTGGCATAGACATGTACGGGAAAAATGAATATTTGTGGATTATCCACAATTTTCAGTTATCCGCGGCCGTCCTCCCAGCCATAACACGGATAATCCAGAGCTGTACTGTAAAATTAAAACATACCATGAAGTCAGTCGGGAACTCAGCCTTGTAGTCGCTCTTGTCCAAATCATCAAAGAGAGTTGTTGCCCCAGAGTCCATTTCCATGGACTCAACCATGCCAGACTCCTGGCCAAAAACACACCAGATATCCGCATTCATTTCGGTACCCGTGGACAACAATGGGCAGACGCCGCACGTATATCTTGCGCCATACCAAGGCACTGTAGGTCTTCTTACGGTCACCACCCCTCACAGGCCAATAGGGGGGGGCGGCCGAGAGAGTGAGCGAGAGGGGTGGTGGTTAACCTGGGGTAAACCCCCCCCCCCGGGTACCCCGTGACAGGAGGGAGAGACCCCAGACCCCCAAGGGGTGGGGGATGAAGGCTAGGGGACAACGGTTCATTCCCGACCCTTCCAGACACTTCTGGAAGGTTCGGGGGAAGGTGTGGTTAGGGGCGAGGTAAGCCCCAACTGGTGTAAAAAAGCAAGTCCTCTTAACGGGACCGGCAGTGTTCGTCCACTCAAGACCCAAAGACATCTGAAGACGAAACTAGCACCCTGGGACCCTCGAACCGAGGCTCTTGTCAGAGCCGGGTTGCAGCGGACCAGCGGTGAGACCCGTACCCTGGCTAGGTCGGGTCAGTCTAGCCTCCCCTAGCTCCCGTAGCGGAGGACCCGTCAGAGCGTAGCCCAGAGTCTGTAGGGCATGCTAGAAGGGAGGCTGTACCTCCCTTAGGTTATCGGGTGACGGGGCCGCACCCCGTAGTGTTACAGGGGCCATAGCCGCAAGTGTTACGGCTATTGGTATTATCGTTTATTGTAATAAACGCGTTGCCTCCAAAAGAGAAGTCTCGCTCAACATTTATACCCCCAATATTTGGTGCCAGAAGTGGCCAAGATTACTACCTAAGATCGAAATGGAATCGAGAAGCAAGGCAGTACGAACCAGGTCTCCAGAAGATGCCGCCGACGACGCATAAACTCAGGGTCTGCGGGGCCCGAAAGGGGGAGAGGGACAGACGCCGCTGGCTGCGCAGCACACTGCTCGGCTGCTCAGCGGGCCGCCGCCGCTGGGAAGAACGCACCAGGCGGCGCATTTTCGGCTCGCGGAGCTCCTCCACGCCGCGGCGTCCCTGCTGGACGAGATAAACCAGGGGGAGTCGGCGGCGGTGGAGGACGAGCAGGTGGAGCCGCTCGGAGCTGCGGCGTTCACCATCGCTGCCGGGGTTCCCGCCAAAAATTCAAAGACCCCCGCCATTGGCTCCGACCAATCAGGGGGTGGCGCGTCATCAGCGCCGCGACTGGACAGTGGAGCCGCCATTGGCACTGTACGCGACGCCACGGCCACCTCAACACCACTCCTGCCAGAGAAGAAGACGAGAGCACAGCAGCGCCTGCCCGTCCTGAGATAATTCTCTGCGGCTGGAGACGATTGGGCCGCTTTTGAGCGCCGCGTCATGTCCAACGCAGCCATGACAGGCTGGTCGGACGAGGAGGCGCTCCGGACCCTCCTCGCGGCGCTCGACGACAACGTGCTGGTGGCGCTCATCTCCATCCCACCGGCGGACCGCGCTACGCTTCAGCAAGCGCTACGGCAGATGGCCGCGGTATTCGGACTGCCCTCACACATTCGCCAGCTCTTCGACGACAGGAAGCGCGAGGAGTCGGAGACTCCCCTCGCCTATCGCTGCGCGTTGCTGGCAAGGGCGGCGTATCCGAAAATGGACGAGCAAGGCATCGACGCACTGGTGATCCACAAGCTGCTCGGCTTGCACGAGAACTCCGAGTCGTCGTGAATGCTGTCGACGACTCAGACTTCAGCTCCCTTCAGTTGCCAGGTGCATACAGTGTGCTCCTCCGGCACGACTCACCCGCACCGGTGTGCTGCTACCACCGGATTACTTCAGGTCATCGCCTCTGTTCCTGGCAAGCGTTGGAGGTCGGGAGATCGGCCGCGATGGGACGCAGATCGCAGCCGGAAGAGGACATCACCACTGCGGGAGCAGGGCATGACGACCTGCTTCAACTGCGGATTGCAGGGCCACGTCGCTTCAGGCTGCCGGGCTCCACTACAGTGCTACTCCGGGCCTACATCGTCATCCGCCAGGTCACCCTCCTCGCCGCGGCACCTCACACACATGGCTCGTAGGTTCACCTCATTCATCCCGCCGCGACCGTTCGGATTGTGCGTCGGGTTGCGCGGGTTCAGATCGCATTCGTAAACCTCTCGACCCAGCATCAACTTCGGCTGGGATATTGTTGGGCCCGTCAAATACGGCAGTACGAGGCTTGGAACTCGTGGGGGCGCAGACCCTGGTGTCCGCAGACAGAGAACCGTTTTTACAGGTTCTTAACGCCGGGTCAATGACATCCGTTGTACCCCAGGGCACGGTTCTTGCCCATGCGTCGCCAGCACTTCGCGACGCGTGTGTCGTCGGTAGCATTGCAGCGAGACCTAGTCCGATGCCACGTTCCGAACCGGATGTTCAACGGGTTGACTCCCTGTGCTCGGACTCGACTGAGCTCTCCAAGTCACAGCGCAGAAAATTGCGGTCTCTCCTTCTGAAATTTTCGGACTTTTAGCAACGGAAAATTCGACCTTGGCCGCACAAACCTGCTAAGTCACCACATTGACACGGGGAATGCTACCCCTACAGGCTCAGTCCTGCAGAGAAGGACCACATTCGGCTTGCCGTTGATGACATTCTGGCAGCCGACATTATTTCCCCATCCACTCGACCATGGGGTGCGCCCATAGTTCTCGTTAAAAAACACGACGGAAGCTTGCGCTTCTGCATCGATTTTCATAAGCTGAATAAAAGTCACTGTCGCCGATGCATACCCATTGCCAAGGATGGACGACTCACTTGACGCCTTAGCCGGCGCTCGGTATTTGTTCACACTTGACCTCCTGTCGGGATTCTGGCAATTGCCATTGGACGAGGCGTCTCAACTCAAAACGGCTTTCCGCACGCCGCAGGGTCTGTTTGAGTTCAATCGGCTCCCGATGAGCCTCCATTCTGCGCCAGCAACATTCCAGAGGTTAATGGAACTCGTTCTGGCCGGTTTGCTGTGGGACTCCTGTTTGAACTACCTGGATGACGTCATCGTCTTCAGCCGCACCTTCGACGAACACCTCAAATGGTTGCATGCTGTTTTTGAGAAAATGCGGACTGCAAAACTGAAATTTAAGCCACAAAAATGCCATCTTCTGCAAAAATCTGTGCGTTATCTTGGGCATATTGTTAGCGAATCTGGCATTGCAACGGATCCCGAAAACACTAAGTGCGTCAGGACATAGCCTACCCCCACGTCGGTGGGAGAGGTGCGAAGCTTCATTGGGTTCGCTTCATACTACCGCTGCTTTGTCGCGAAATTTGCCACCATCGCTAAACCGCTCCCACGCCTTGACAGTGAAAGGTCAGAAGTTTCATTGGGGTGACGCTGAGGAGGCCTCGTTCCGGGCACTTCGAAAGGCTTTGGTTGACACGCCTCCTCTCCGCTATCCCGATTTTTCTGTGCCTTTTAACCTTGATACAGATGCGAGCAACACCGGTATCGGCGCCGTCCTGTCACAAGTCGTTGATGGGGTTGAGCGCGTTATCACATACGGTAGTAGTCCTCTCACACGACTGAACAACGCTACTGTGTGACGCGTCGCGAACTGCTGGCGATTGTCTTCTTTGTCCGCATGCACCGGCCGTATCTGTACGGGAGAACGTTCACGATGCGTTCGGACCATGCGGCTTTGCAGTATGTCCTACGCGTTGATCAGCCATCCGGCCAGTTATCAAGGTGGCTAGAAATCCATCAGGATTTCTCGTTTCAGGTCATGTACAGGAAAGGCACCCAGAATTCCAACGCGGATGCCCCGTCTCGGTTGCCAACGGGGCTCGGGTCGGTGCAAGCGGCCCGTAATTGATTCGGCCCCGCCGCTGGCAGCCTCGGCTGATGCGAGGCCTCAGGAAGAGGCCACCAGCCCAGTTCCAAGCGACGCAGTGTTGCACCTCGAGCTGGCCGTTTGGGGTCATCTTCAGATTGAAGACAATTCATTGATCAGGATGTGCCGCCAGGCCACTCGGTCAGACAAGGGGGTCGATCCGGAGTGTTTGGCACCTGTCGTTCTGAGGGATGGCCTACTGATGTGCCGGGATGACGCCGCCGGCAGACACGTTCTCGTTGTTCCCACGACTCTCCGCGGGAGGATTGTGTGGGCCGTCTACGACCGGCTGATGCACCTGGGTGTGCATAAAACCTTAGATACCATTCGGAAGGACTTTTTTTGGCTGGGCATGGCGGCGGATGTCGCCGACCTGTTAAAGGGGTGCGTGCAAGGGGTGCGTGCAATGCGCACAATGAAATCGCCCGGCAAAGCCCTGTCGGCCACCGTTACAGTCAATAAAAGTTTTGCGGATCAATGAGCTTGTCGCTCTTGACATCCTGGGGCCCTTTCCCACCACCCCTCGCGGAAATCAGTTTTTGTTGGTTGGGGCAGAATACTTCACACGTTGGCCCATGGCCTGGCCTCTCCCCAACCAATCTGCGACGGCCATCACGGAAGCATTCTTCAATGGATACGTAATGGATAAGGGGGTACCTGAAAGGCTGCTTACAGATCAGGGGAGAAATTTTTCTTCTAAACTGCTCAAGGACGTGTGCCTCCTGCTTGGCACTCGAAAGCTATGCACGTCTCCACACCATCCACAGACAGATGGCATGGTGGAGCGGTTAAACCGGACACTTGCGACGATGCTTAGCCACCAGGTGAGCGAGTGCCAGCAGGATTGGGACTTGCACATTCCTGGCGTGCTGGCCGCTTGCCACATGGCCCCCCACGCTTCGACCGGCTACTCGCCCTTTTACCTTATGTACGGCACGGAGCACGACCCCCCAGTTGACGTCCAACTCGGTGTGACTCCACCTAAACAACCTGCTAAATTGTCCGCCTCGCTTACCTTTAGCATCGAGAGGCCGACCGAAGCACGAGAGGCTGCTAGAATTAATTCAGAGGCACCGAAAAATGCTAGCGAACGCCTGCAGGCCTCCCGCGTATCGGATCACAAGTGGCAACGTGGCTCCACTGCCCTCAGGTCCCTGTGGCGACGTCCCCCAAGTTGGCTAAGCTATGGCGAGGGCCCGTTGTCGTTGTACGTGTGGTTCGCCCCAATGTGTGCAGATTCGGTGGGGTCGCCCGCTGCTGGCACGTGCATCCGTCGCGACTTAAGCCCTTCTTTGTTTCACGCGCTGCCGATTCATCTCCACTTAGTCCGGGCCGCTTGTGTGAGGTGTCTGACGCGCCGGGTTGTGTGGCTACTTATGCGGAGCAACAGCAGGAGTCCTTGCCCCCCTCTCCAGGCGCCGCATAACTGACGCCTGCACCAGCGCCGCTGACGTCTGCTCCACCAAGCCCTGCCAAAAGGAGCTCCCCCGTCCTCCCGGACACTCTACCCAAACCGCCCTGTGCCACACCGCCGTCGCCGGCACCCGAGTCCCGCCGGCTTGGGTGAGGCCGCGTCCGTCGGCGGCCCGGCCATGAAGACACGGTCCAGGACTCAAGAGATTTTCTTGACCCCCTCCGACTCACACACACGCCCCACGCACTCCACAATGAGTACAACCCACTTGTTCGTTCGTGTTGTTTTTTTTTCTGCGCTCTTTGGGGGGTACTTTGAACAGTGACCTCGGGGGGATGGGGATCACTTCTTCACACACTGTGAACTTACCTTGTCGTTTTTTTTATCTATTGCATATAGTGTAAATTTGTACAGGTGGGCTGGTGTATTTATATCGGGTCGCTTACCTTCCCCGCCGTTGTTGTTATTTATGTTGTTATAGTTGAGGCTCGCGTACCTGGTTCATTGTTGTACCCTTCACGATTATTGCCAGCCGGGACGGCTGGGTGCTACGGAGGGGGGAGTGATGTTGCGCCATACCAAGGCACTGTAGGTCTTCTTACGGTCACCACCCTCACAGGCCGATAAGGGGCAGCCGAGAGAATGAGCGGGAGGGGTGGTGGTTAACCTGGGGTAAAACCCCCCCCCGGGTACCCCGTGACAGGAGGGAGAGACCCCGGACCCCCAAGGGATGGGGGCTGAAGGCTAGGGGCCAACGGTTCATTCCTGACCCTTCCAGACACTTCTGGAAGGTTCGGGGGAAGGTGTGGTTAGGGGCGGGGTAAGCCCCAACTGGTGTATAAAAGCCGGACCTCTCAACGGGACCGGCAGTGTTCGTCCACTCAAGACCCAAAGACATCTGAAGACTAGACCAGCACCCTGGGGCCTCAACCGAGGCTCTTGTCAGAGCCGGGTTACAGCGGACCAGCGGTGAGACCCGTCCCCTGGCTAGGTCGGGTCAGTCTAGCCTCCCCTAGCTCCCGTAGCGGAGGACCCGTCAGAGCGTAGCCCGGAGTCTGTAGGGCACGCTAGAAGGGAGGCTGTACTTCCCTTAGGTTATCGGGTGACGGGGCCGTACCTCCTAGTGTTACAGGGGACATAGCCGCAAGTGTTACGGCTATTGGTATTGTTATCGTTTATTGTAATAAACGCGTTGCCTCCTAAAGAGAAGTCTCGCTCCACGTTTATACCCACAACATACACATCATAACTATTGTTGACATTTCCTCATCACAAACCGCCGGTAGCAAAATGAAGACTATTCTATGGAATTCAAAATGGTCCCACCCGCCCCGCCTCTCTCGTCTCTACTTTCCTGAGCCAGTGGTAGACATTCCATAATTCTGACAGAAGAGATGTCCATCAATAGACCAACCACCACTGACTTCCCAGAAAAGTGTTAATTATTTAATCAAACCCGATCCCCGAATTGTCATCTCCATGCTTGAGCACTTGGCCCAACAAATTGTCGGGGCAAGTGCTGTCAGTGAGCACCTATGAAGGCCGGCACGGCACACAAGGGGGTGGGGGTAGCCAACAACATGCCCGGCCACCTTTGTTTTCAGAGTGGGCATGTTTTTACACATCGTACCAGGTACTCATGTGAGGCTGACTCGACCTAGGGGAGGCCCAGGACCAGCTCAGATAATTGTCACCGGTGTTGGCCGTGAGCAGGAATCGAACTCGTGTCGCCAGGTTCGTAGCGCAGTGTGCTAACCGCTACCCGACTGCTCCCCACCGCATGGAGATGACACACACACCCATACGCATTTATTTTCATAAAATGTTAAATTGCCTTTACCCCTTCACTTAAGTTCTTCCTCCATTATCTTCCCCTTCCCATATAAAAGTACAAAAATACCCCGCTTGCGGTCCCAACTTGGGTGGGGCAGTGAGACCAAAATCTCCCCCTTCTCTAAACCGAGGGGCACAGAGTTCGTGACCTCTGTCCGCGGAGTTTCTGTACCCCTCCTTGCGTCGCGGCTCATGCACTGTACCTGGCTCTTGAGCTTTGGGTAATGACCGAAAGGATGAGATCACGGGTACGAGGGGCCGAAATGAGGTTTCTCCGCAGAGTTTGCCAGGCTCGCTCTCCGTGATCGGGCGAGGAGCTCGGTAATCGGGGAGAGCCTCAGAGTCGAGCCGCTGCTGCTCCTCCGGATCGAGAGAAGCCAAGTTGAGGTGGTTCGGGCACCTGGTAAGGATTGTCCCCCCCTGGAACTCTACCGGGCACGTCCCACTGGGGTGAAGACCCCGGGGCCGGCTCAGGACATGCTGGCGGGACTATGTCGCTCAGCTAGCCTGGAAACACCTGGAAATTTCCACGGGAAGAGCTAGAGTCCGTCGCCAACAAAAGGGAGGTCTGAACCACCTTACTCAACATGCTGCTGCCGCGACCCTCACCAGGACAAGCGGACTGAGAAACGAACGATTAAAAAAAAAAAATCACAGTGAAACAACTACCAAAGAAACACCGGTCACCTGCCCGACCACTCAGACCTCACCTCCTTCATGTCGGACGAATGGTGCTGGGAATGCTGCATCTTTCCCGAACCGTCGGGCACCGTGTGGGGGTGCGGCGACGGCGTTTGATGCCCGGCTCCCCCCACGGAGCCGGAGCAGACCCCTAAGGCGCCCCCTCCTCCTCCGCCGCTGCCCGGGCCCCCCCCCGACGACGACGAGGTGGAAGCGGCCGCTGCGGCCGCTGCGGCCGCGGCGGCGGTGGCAACGGCGGCTGCGGCGGCCGCGCCACCCCAGGCGAGCTCGCCGCGCGAGATCAGCGTGCACATGTAGCCGTCGTGCCAAAAGACCTCGGCGCGCATCAGCTCACAGAACAGCAGCACCAGGTTGGAGAATTCCATCTTCTCGCTCTCGTTGCTTGGGTCGGCTGCGGAGGGAAGGCGACCATTTAAAAAAAAACGTACGGCTCTGGGAGGTGTTTTGTTGTTGTTTTTTTTTTACAGTGCTCTAAAGGGGTAGAGTGACAGTTACTCTAAAGATGAACACGGAACTGCGGTCATCATTATTTTTTTTGCTTTTGCAGACCGTTTAAAAATTTTCAACGCTGACCCAAGTCGGTTTAACACTGAACCTTTTGGTTGGTTGTCACCAATCAATAGAATGAAACCCAGCCCCCTAAGGGCTTGACAACAGGAAAGGGCGAAAGTGGCAATTTTTTTTTAGCGCAGTCTTCGAGACAGTCTGGTCCCTTCACCTGATGAAGGCCGCTTGTGTTGTGGCCGAAACGTCGTGATTTTTGTTATTTTATTTTTTACCTATGTCACTTTACCGAATAGAACCAAAGAGTATGGATTCTTGAGCAAGTTGCAGGGTGGGGGGTCCCGTTCACCTCTGTATCTCGGAATGCACTAGCGGCTCAGTGTTCATTTTATTTTGAAAGGCATAGCGCCACTGTTTTTCAAGACATTGTACTCGCTGCAGAGAACCGTGGCAACACGACTGCTACACTCGATGACAGCTGGTGCCAAACTGTGCCACACGCCCCCTCCTGCATGGCCTTGTGGGAGTCTCGGTACGGATAAAGTTATTTATTTTAGTTTTTCTTTCCCGGTTTCATTTTGATGATGTACAACGTACGTCATCGGAACGGGAAAAGGGTTAAGCCGTCACGGAGACACACAGCACAACGTCAGTGAGCGTCACAACTCTGTCACGGGCGGAGGTGTGCCGCGAGCGGCAGACCAAGCGTGCGACTCACTTATGATGGGCGCCTGCGTGTCCAGGAAGCGCAGCAGCACGTTCTGGAAGACGGGGAGGCTGGCGCCGGCCAGTGAGCCCGACGAGATCGATTCCTTCTCGTCCAGCACCTCCGACTCACCGCAGCGCTGCTTTTGGCAGTAGAAGTGGGGTGGGGGTTGGGTGGGATGCGGGGGGGGATTTGAAAACCAGCCTCACAGAACATATACTGTGCTTACGAACGTCGGCAGCATGCTTAGGCTGCGCCGTGTCACTTACACACCCGGCCAAATAAATGACTCCACTGCTACGCACATCCGATTAGCACGGTTGTCTATGTACGGTGTGAAAGAAGCTCAACATACATACTGCTTGCTCACGGTCTTGAAGCCATCGGTCGGAGCACTTTCCAAGTAACGCCAAAATGTCATCACCAAATTTTGCCAACTTCCCGTCACCGTGGAGCTCTGATGCTATTTTGTGATGTCCTCGGAGTTCTGGGCTAATTGAGGGGTGGGGTCCCCGGTTTATCCGGTAGCTCCACAAAGACAAAGACACAAACCTTTGAGGCCGCTTTACATTTTGAGTGCAGAACAATTCATATTATTTTACAACACAAGCGGTGTGTAATATTAAGGTATAAGGTAACTTAAAACATTTCCAAATAAAAAAGGACTTGCTTGGTCTGGACGTAATTTGGCGCGAAAATGTTTATACAGTACTAAACTGGCACGTGGCATTTCTGGGAAGCATGCAGACACAGCAAAGAAACAATTCGACTTTGCTGGGCATGCTATTCTAAATTTGACTTTCAGGAGTGTGATGTCCCCATCATAAAAAATAAACTGTTGGGGTCTCCCCAAAATACTGTTATATGTGGGATACTGTATGTTCAATCAACATTATTTCGAGAATAAGGTGTAGATGGATGAAGGCGCGCTATGGGTGTACGTCTCGTGTTAGTCACAGCACAGCACCGTGTACGTACGTATGTGGAACTTTTTTTTGCACTGTACGGAGATAACCGTGCTAATCAGAGACGCGGGGGGAAGGACAACAAACTAAACACAAAAAGCAGTTCTAAAGAAATTAGTTTTAAATCTATATTTAAAAGTGCGTAGCTCCAGTGGCATCCAAATATCAGAAGGAAGAGCATTCCAGATGGCCACAGAAGCGCAATCTGAAAGTTCGCGATGCGGTGACCGTCTGTGTTCGACGGCTAGCCAAAAGGCGCTGCCTGCTGCGAGGATGACCGGAGTTTGCATCACGGTTTATGCTCCTTGACGAGATCAGCGAGGCGTTGTGGTTCATTTGAGGCAAGCACTTTGTGTGTGTGTGTGTAATGAGTGCATGTCTGGTGGGCCGCCACCCCTCAACTCACATCGGCCTCCAGCTCCGCCTGACGCTTTTCGAGAAGCCGCGCGACCACCAGGGCGCGGTGCTTCCCCGAACGCTTGCAGCTGACGGCCCACTCGCAGAGCAGCGTCACGATAGCGTCGTCAGGCATAGCCACCTGCCAGACACGGGCGTCGCACAATCTATAAACACGAGCGTAGAGGCAAACTCTTGCAGAGCAGCGACACGATTGCGGAACCTGGGGACAGCTGCCTTATGTGGAAGCATATAGCAGCCAAATAATCTAAACCCATGTTTCTGTATGTGGAGGGAAAAACCTGAGGACCCGAAGGGAAATCCACGTGACCACAGGGAGAATATGCAAACTCCAACTATACAGGCTTCAGGGTCGGGATCGAACCCACATCCCTCCTGCAGGCAGGTAACATCCCACCACCACGGCGTCCAGACACAGAAGGCATCATGTCTGCATCAACCAGACATGATACCTTGTAATAGGTGTCTATTAGGTGTTGGAACATCTTCACACCGGTATTTTCTATCATTAAATAAATTGTTAAGTTATTAATATGCACCAGCACTGCGCATTAGTCATGGAAGAATCCATTTACCATAAAATAGTCGATCTCAATGTCTCACACATTCTTATCTTCAATAGACTTTATAGGATCTTATTGCAAGGTGTTGCACAACAATTATAAAATTGTAGATTAGAGGACAGTGGTTGAAATAAAAAGTGGGGTTGTTATTAAAAGTGGTGGTGTAGTTATGGTAACAGTTAGGAGAAGGGGTGGGAGTGGTTAAGGAGGGGTTGGGAAAGTGATAGGGGTTGGGGTAGTGATAGGGGTTGGGGTAGTGATAGGGGTTGGGGTACTGATAGGGGTTGGGGTAGTGATAGGGGTTGGGAAAGTGATAGGGGTTGGGGTAGTGATAGGGATAATGATAGGGGTTGGGATAATGATAGGGGTTGGGGTAGTGATAGGGGTTGGGGTAGTGATAGGGGTTGGGGTAGTGATAGGGGTTGGGGTAGTGATAGGGGTTGGGGTAGTGATAGGGGTTGGGGTAGTGATAGGGGTTGGGGTAGTGATAGGGGTTGGGGTACTGATAGGGGTTGGGGTAGTGATAGGGGTTGGGAAAGTGATAGGGGTTGGGGTAGTGATAGGGATAATGATAGGGGTTGGGGTAGTGATAGGGGTTGGGGTAGTGATAGGGGTTGGGGTAGTGATAGGGGTTGGGGTAGTGATAGGGGTTGGGGTTGTGATGGGGACTGGGGTAGTGATAGGGGTTGGGGGTTGTGATAGGGGTTGGGGTAGTGATAGGGGTAAGGGTAGTGATAGGGGTTGGGGTAGTGATAGGGGTTGGGGTAGTGATAGGGGTTGGGGTAGTGATAGGGGTTGGGGTAGTGATAGGGGTTGGGGTAGTGATAGGGGTTGGGGTAGTGATAGGGGTTGGGGTAGTGATAGGGGTAGTGATAGGGGTTGGGGTAGTGATAGGGGTTGGGGTAGTGATAGGGGTTGGGGTAGTGATAGGGGTTGGGGTAGTGATAGGGGTTGGGGTAGTGATAGGGGTTGGGGTAGTGATAGGGTTTGGGGTAGTGATAGGGGTTGGGGTAGTGATAGGGGTTAGGGTAGTGATTGGGGTTGGGGGTTGTGATAGGAGTTGGGGGTTGTGATAGGGGTTGGGGTAGTGATAGGGGTTGGGGTAGTGATAGGGGTTGGGGTAGTGATAGGGGTTGGGGTAGTGATAGGGGTAGTGATAGGGGTTGGGGTAGTGATAGGGGTAGTGATAGGGGTTGGGGTAGTGATAGGGGTTGGGGTTGTGATGGGGACTGGGGTAGTGATAGGGGTTGGGGTAATGATAGGGGTTGGGGTAATGATAGGGGTTGGGGTAGTGATAGGGGTTGGGGTAGTGATAGAAGTTGGGGTAGTGATAGGGGTTGGGGTAGTGATAGGGGTTGGGGTTGTGATGGGGACTGGGGTAGTGATAGGGGTTGGGGTAGTGATAGGGGTTGGGGTAGTGATAGGGGTTGGGGTAGTGATAGGGGTTGGGGTAGTGATAGGGGTTGGGGTAGTGATAGGGGTAGGGGTAGTGATAGGGGTTGGGGTAGTGATAGGGGTTGGGGTAGTGATAGGGGTTGGGGTAGTGATAGGGGTAGTGATAGGGGTTGGGGTAGTGATAGGGGTTGGGGTAGTGATAGGGGTTGGGGTAGTGATAGGGGTTGGGGTAGTGATAGGGGTTGGGGTAGTGATAGGGGTTGGGGTAGTGATAGGGTTTGGGGTAGTGATAGGGGTTGGGGGTTGTGATAGGAGTTGGGGGTAGTGATAGGGGTTGGGGTAGGGCTGGCCGTAGCTGGGGGGCAGGGGTAGCAGTAGCAGGATGGGCTAGGGTTCATTTCCCAGACCTTGGACCTTACCTCCTGACCGTCCTTGCTCTGCGGGGAGCAGAATATCTTGTTGTAGAGCGAGTCAAGGCAGCTGCTGGAGTCGGAGCGGTCAAAGCAGTGCTTGTCAAGCTGCTCCAGCGTGTAGAGGACTTTGCTGATGGTGAATCCTGGCAAACGGCAGTGATGTGAAGACAGAGATGAGCACAGGGTCACACGCAGACCCCGTACAGTCATACGCATACACGCACTGGGGTTGCTGCGTTATAATTTTTCACAATACGATATCAATGATGAAACAATATATCATAGGTTTTACCTGTTTCTGCAAGGCATCAAGTCTGCATTAACCACACATTCTGTGCATGTTTTGCCACGAGTATGCCTTGAACCCTTGCAAAAGGTATCTATTTGGTATTTAAACATCTTAACACCTGTTTTATTGCCAGAAAGGGTAAAACCTATTCTTATCTTTTCATCATTCCTGATAATGGCAAAGAGGACCCATAGATCTAAAATCAATTTCCACGATATCGTGATATCTGTTACTCTTAATTTTGTTGCTGGAATTCGACTTTGAATTGTATTATAGTGTTTTTGTGCTGCATTTCCAGTACGAATTAAGAACGGTTCTTCAACCGCAGTTCATTCAACTTGAAACGATTTCATTTTTTGCGTGCAAAACACCGTTACAAGAGGTTCGCGGTATATTCGCCCACATTGTTTCGAGCATACATTGTACATGGATACAGCCGACGGCGTAGTGTGGCGAGACAGCTGCCCGATGACCGACGAGGCCTTGGCGTGTGAGATGCTTGCCGAAGAGTGACGTGGCAGCAGTCGGCGAGAGGGCGGTGTGTAACAATTCACTCATCTGACCGTGCCCGTCCAGTGCTCGCCCGAGCTGCATTGGCTTCCGGTGGCGAAACTAATACAGCGAAACCTTGGACCGCGAGCAACTTGGTCTGCGAGTGTTTTGCAAGACGAGCAAATTTTGCAAATGAATATTAATTTGATAAACGAGCGAGGGTCTTGCAATACGAGTGGTGTACGTGTACGCTTTGTCTGCCGAGCGTCACGTGATCACAACTGAGCCAATGGTTCTTCTCTCTCTCTCTCGCTGCGGGATTGTGGGTAATCGTCTCCCATGCTCGGTCTCAGTCGGCGTGCCTCACTCGTATAGTCAACATCCGTGCGAACGTATACTTTGTGTCCAAGTGCAGTGACTGTTCTTTAGTAACTGTTCTGCAACAATGGCCCCCATGAAATCCTCAAAAGGAGGCAAAAGCAAGTGTCATTGGATAGGTTCATTGTTAAAGTCGCACAAAAAGAAGATTCCAGTGAGCCAACAGATAGCAGCGATTCCGTTAGTGACAGTGAAAGTCGTCCTACACAATAATAACCGTCCTCCTCTCCTCTCTCTCTCGTCTCCCTCACACCAGCCACGATTAAATTTAATTAATAAATTTGATTCCTTTATATTAAATTTAAACAATAAAAATATAAAAAGGTATTTAGTATTAATCATTTTTACATGAATATTTTTGGGTTGTGGAACGAATCATCTGAGTTTCCATTATTTCTTATGGGGAAATCGCTTTGATATGCAAGTGCTTTGGATTAAAAACACGTTTCCGGAACGAATTATGCTCGCAATCCAAGGTTTTACTGTACGTTGTAAGGTCTCTCTCATTACGCACAAAGTGCTTGCCACAAATGAACGGCAATACCTCGCTCATTTGGTCGAGGAGCGTAAACACCATCGTCACGCGAACCTTGGTCCATCCTGGCAGCCGTGGCTTTTGGCTCGCCGTCGTACAAAGATGGTCACAGTGCCATCGCGCCCTTACAGATGCGCTTCTATTTAAAGCTTTCGTGACTGCAAGGATTCATCTTCTTTGGTTCTTTCGGTAAAGTCACCACGTAGAATGAGAATAAAACAATAAAATAACACGATAAAATTCTCACGACGTTTCGGCCACAACGCAGACGGCCGCTTGCGTTGTGGCCGAAACATCGTGAGAATTTTATAGTGTTATTTTATTGTTTTATTCTCATTCTACGTGACTTCACCGAAAGAACCAAAGAAGATGCGCTTCTGTGCCCATCTGGAATGCTCTTCCTTCCGATATTAGGAAGCCACTGCAGCTATGCCACTTTTAAATAATCTAGATCGAAAACTCATTTCTTTAGAACTGCTTTCTGTGTTTAGTTTGTTGTCCTTCTCCCGCACCTCCAATTCGCACGGTTGGCTCTGTACTGTGGGGAAGAAGTTCAACATACATATGTACATTTGCCAACACATGCAATCAACCATGCGTGTGAGATATTTCACTATTTCAGGTGTAGTGCCACTTTCATGCAAATGTTACTTTTCTGCTCATGGCAAAAAAACTTTACAAAGAAAACTAAGAAGGACGGTACAAAGACGACACACCGCCAACGAGATTAAAAAAAAAAAAAAAGGTTCTTGGACAGAATTAGGACGTCATGTCGTGATAATTCATCAAACCGTGAGCGGGCGGGCGGGCGGGCAGGGGGGCGTAGAGGTGAAACGCAACACGGCCGCTCACCCGCGGTCGACTCCTGGCACTTGTCGAAGGACCAGCGTACCTCCACGGCACGACCTCGCTGACGGATCTGCTGCTCGACCTGCCTCAACCTCCCACGCACCTACATTCAGCAGCCGCCATCGGCGAGAACGCACGAGCACAATTGCACTCATATTCTTAGTTTTTTCGGTGAAGTGACGTTGAAGAGAAACAACAAAATAACAAAAAATATATATAAAACAATAAAAAAAAAATTCTCACGACGTTTCGACCATAACTCAAACGGTCATCATCAGGTGTGTCGGTTTGCATAAATTTATTTTTAAAACGGCACATTTATTTATTTATAAAAAACGTTGGCGTCACGCGCAGCCATTGGCAGTTTGCCCAGGACTAGTCCATCTATTTTTTTTATTGTTTTATATATATTTTGTTATTTTGTTGTTTCTCTTCAACGTGACTTTACCGAAAAAACTAAGAATATGAATTACTGCAGTCACGAAAGCTTTAAATCAAAATACAATTGCACTCATTGTACAATACGTGTCCTTGATGTCATTTATAATGCAATGTTATTCTGCATTGTTTTAGTTGCACCGCTGACATCACTTCTGGAATGCACAAAACAACACCACACCCGTTACAGCACAGTTCTTGGCTGGGACTTGCGCTGGCACGTGACGTTTCAGCGCAGCGTGGAGATGCGGCTAAACAAACAGCGAGTCAGAATCAGAACCTTTATTTACACTGGTAGAATCCGATGAGCTATTAAGCTTTCTTCCCACAAATGTCTCGTCAGCATTACTGCGCTCACGAACGTCAGCTCTTCAAAATTTTTGAGCATGCGGAAGAGTGATTTTACGTTTCTGTCCCATTTGCGTAGAATTTTACACACTTTTGAGGCCAAATTGTAGATGTCAAGGCACCATCGCACGGTGCATGGTGGTGGGGGGGGGGAGGGTGGGCAGCAGCACCTGCTGGTTGAAGGCGTTGTTTCCCCCGGGCATTGGCAGGCTGGAGGGCGCAAGTGGCAGCAGGTCGAGTGGTGAGCCAGGCGTATTGGTCTTGCTCTCGTTCTGCGAGTAATTCCACACGAGGGCGCTGGGGCAGCACAGAGTCACCGTCTGCAAGAGAGGAAAAGGGGGCGGCCGGCGGGGGGGGGTTGTTATGGAGTGTCGATAAAGGGACGGGCGGATGTGTGCAATAGCTGACGAAGGCGGCCGGGTTTGCTAGTAAAGTCAGAATCGGAATATTTATGCTGGAGGAATCCGATGAGCTATGAGGCTCTTTTTCACGGATGTCCAGTAGGGGCGGGTGAGAATGTCACAACAAACAGTACAACAAAATTATAAGAGTGCAAAGTACAACAACGCCAAGCCAGCAAAGCTGACACCGCGATTGAACTGAGATATCGAGAGTAGTGGGCTGATAGGACTCGGCCAGGTCACCAATGAATGCACACAAAATCACAATTACATGTACAGTGAGGGAAAAAATTATTTGATCCCCTGCTGATTTTGTACGTTTGCCCACTGAGAAAGAAATGATCAGCCTATAATTTTAATGGTAGGTTGATTTGAACAGTGAGAGACAGAATAACAACAAAAAATCCAGAAAAATGCATGTCAAAAATGTTATAAATTGATTTGCATTTAATGAGGGAAATAAGTATTTGACTCCCTCTCAATCAGAAAGATTTCTGGCTCCCAGGTGTCTTTTATACAGGTAACGAGCTGAGATTAGGAACACACTCTTAAAGCGAGTGCTCCTAATCTCAGCTTGTTACCAGTATAAAAGACACCTGTCCACAGAAGCAATCAATCAATCAGATTCCAAACTCTCCACCATGGCTAAGATCAAAGAGCTCTCCAAGGATGTCAGGGACAAGATTGTAGACCTACACAAGGCTGGAATGGGCTACAAGACCATTGCCAAGCAGCTTGGTGAGAAGGTGACAACAGTTGGTGTGATTATTCGCAAATGGAAGAAACACAAAAGAACTGTCAATCTCCCTCGGCCTGGGGCTCCATGCAAGATCTCACCTCGTGGAGTTGCAATGATCATGAGAATGGTGAGAAATTAGCCCAGAACTACACGGGAGGATCTTGTCAATGATCTCAAGGCAGCTGGGACCAGTCACCAAGAAAACAGTTGGTAACACACTATGCCGTGAAGGACTGAAATTCTGCAGCGCCCACAAGGTCCCCCTGCTCAAGAAAGCACATATACATGCCCGTCTGAAGTTTTCCAATGAACATCTGAATGATTCAGAGGACAACTGGGTGAAAGTGTTGTGGTCAGATGAAACCAAAATGGAGCTCTTTGGCATCAACTCAACTCGCCGTGTTTGGAGGAGGAGGAATGCTGCCTACGACCCCAAGAACACCATCCCCACCGTCAAACATGGAGGTGGAAACATTATGCTTTGGGGGTGTTTTTCTGCTAAGGGGGCAGGACAACTTCACCGTATCAAAGGGACGATGGATGGGGCCATGTACCGTCAAATCTTGGGTGAGAACCTCCTTCCCTCAGCCAGGGCATTGAAAATGGGTCGTGGATGGGTATTCCAGCATGATAATGACCCAAAACACGGCAAAGGCAACAAAGGAGTGGCTCAAGAAGAAGCACATTAAGGTCCTGGAGTGGCCTAGCCAGTCTCCAGACCTTAATCCCATAGAAAATCTGTGGAGGGAGCTGAAGGTTCGAGTTGCCAAACGTCAGCCTCGAAACCTTAATGGCTTGGAGAAGATCTGCAAAGAGGAGTGGGACAAAATCCCTCCTGCGATGTGTGCAAACCTGGTGGCCAACTACAAGAAACGTCTGACCTCTGTGATTGCCAACAAGGGTTTTGCCACCAAGTACTAAGTCATGTTTTGCAGAGGGGTCAAATACTTATTTCCCTCATTAAAATGCAAATCAATTTATACATATTCTTAGCTCTTTCGGTAAAGTCACGTTGAAGGGAAACAATAAAATAATCAAATATATATATAAAATAATAAAAATTGTTACGACGTTTCGACCATGACACAAACGGTCGTCATCAGGTGATGAATTACTGCAGTCACGAAAGCTTTAAATCAAAACAATTTATACATTTTTGACATGCGTTTTTCTGGATTTTTTTGTTGTTATTCTGTCTCTCACTGTTCAAATAAATCTACCATTAAAATTCTAGACTGATCATTTCTTTGTCAGTGGGCAAACGTACAAAATCAGCAGGGGATCAAATACTTTTTTACCCTCACTGTATTTGCGTATTTGAGCTCTGTGAAATAAAATTTTGGTTTGATTGGGATAAAATTTTGGTTTGATTGGCAACGACTTTTTGCAGACAGTATAAAGACAGTCCCCTACCAAGAATAAAGTGGCTCACTGGAAGGAGTAATTATTTGTCATTAATTATTCTTTAACACAATTATACTGTTGTGCATATTGTCTGTAATGTATGTTTTTAAACAATGTATTTTGTCTGCAAGCATGTCCCTCCTGAAAGTCTCTAAAATACTCTAATGACACTGACACATGTGACTGCATGAAACACAGACCACAGAGCATCTATTGGCCTGCAGGGACCTCGTCGGGGCTAAAGGCCGGGCCACCACCGCCGCATCATTATCATCAATCGTGTGCCCGACTGCTGGATAAACAAATGACTGTGGTGGCAGCACACGAGAAAAAGGAGACGTCAAATACATCTTTGCTCTGGCATCTCGAGATGCACCTGCAGGGGAGGCACGGCATAAACAATCAATGATGTTGATGTTGACGATGATGACATGGAGGTGCGCTGCTATTATCGCACACTGCATTTCCGAGTAGAAATATCTTGGGCTTGTGACACGCACACATTGCATAACTTGTAAAAAGTAAAAAAATATTTTTTTTTATCGGTGGTTGGCGAGGCTTGCCAGCAAGATAGAGTTTCAAATCCCACGACGTTCGCTCAAATAACATTCACTAACGGTGGACAATGCTGCCCCGTAAGACTATCACAGAGGATGATTAATAGCATCCAGCTCAGAAATGCAACAAGAAATGTCGGTTGTGCAATAAACACGACACAATGGCAGCTGGATTTTTAAGAGTACTGTACGCCTTCCGCATTGCACGCCTAACGAGCGCTCGCTTGTACTGGCCATTACAAATGTGTGCCAGTATTCACGAACGGTTTACGGAATTTGGCTGTTATCCGGTAAGGGTTTAATAGAAAACATCATTGCCTTTGGACGCACGGCTTGGCGTGTAGAAAATAAATACTCCTTTCGAATGGAGTTTTCACACATTGTTCCGTCGATATCTTTCAATAAGCGAAAGCCTCCTGAAAATCACACCACCTCTGTGTGGCCACCCCCACTCCGAATCCCTCCTCTCTCCATGCCCCCCGTGAAAACAGACGCTGCTTAACGCAGCTCACATCTGCTCACTCCTTCCTTCTCTCCCCACTCCCTTACCCTTCCCTCTGATCCTTGACATCTTGGCCCTGTTATATCCCATGATTTATCTTATTTATTTCTCCCTTTTCCTTTTTTCCCATCCATTATATCCTTGACTGTAGTCCTCTGTCCGCGGTGTGCCACGGGTAAAAAAAAGTTGTATACTTCTGTAAAACCAGTGATTATTTAATACACACTCTCGGGTAATTAATTAGAGCACATTTTACGCCACGTGCAGCTTTCTTTTGCAGAACACTTCACGTGAAGAACAAGTTGTATTCTTTCCAGAACCCATACCTTGTGGATAATGAGACATTTAATAAAACATTTCAAGTCCCAGCCTGCACATCTACTAACCTTGACACCTTTAAACGATGTAGGCATATTATAACACACTGTTATGGAGTCCAACACCTTCTTACTCGTCGGCATAAATCGTTTTACAGTGTGCACGACATCTCGTCTATAACACGTTGGACTGCCAAGCCTTTTTTTTATTGCCCATTCCCTTATCCCTCACCCCTGCCCTTGTAGCCAAGGGCATGTCTCGGCGAACACCGCGACCACGTGCCGAGTCGAGGAAGGCGAAGAGAAGAGCGGGAGAGCGAGAGACGCGGCAGCAGCCCTAACACACGGCACCTGCAGCATGCAGCTGAGCCCGTAGATGAGCGAGCGGTGCTGGGGGCACGACTGGAAGTCGGCGAATGCCGGGTGCGTCGGGTTGGCGGAGCCGGTGGGCGGCTGCGGAGGAGGGGTGGATCCCGTGGTCGTGGTCACCGACGGGGTCCCCTGGGCGCTGCCGCCCGCCGGCGCCGCAGGAGCCACGCCGGCTGCGCCGCCGGCGCTGTTCCCGCCGCCGCCGCCCCCCCCGACGCCGGCGCCGGAGGGAAGGCCGAGGAGCGGCGAGTGGGAGCGAGGGCCCGTGCCGTGGCCGGTCATGGCCGTGGCGGCTGAAGGGTCGCCCAACAGCAGCGAGAGGCGGCGGGCGCAGAAGAACGCCAGGCGCCGCGCCAGGTAGGCCGACTGAACGAACTCATCCGAGTACTTAGACGGTAGTGGGCGAATTTGGGGGTGGGGTGAAGAGGATGGAGACGTGTTATTTCTTCAATTATGCTCGTTTACCCAGAACGCCTCGCTCCGTGTCATGACTATTTTCCAGATTCCGATCTAGACAAATGTACGTATGCATGTATACGCTGAAATTCAACGCACCGCAGGTGCGATTTCAATTTTTCGAGAAAAAAATGTAAGACCGTGACACTGGGGCACAATGGCTTACTCTCACAAATGACGTCACAGGCGTCTTTAACGTCCACTGTGAAACAGACGGAGAGGTTTCTATGCAGGATTGCAATGATATATTTTTTCATCCTATATATGACCATGTAGGGTTCACGGTTGTGATGTATGGCTCTCTGAAGCGTTTACTCAACCCTAACACACGGTACAAACCGAAAACTTATCAGACAGCTATGATACGGAAGGCTATACGTTTTCACGGCATAATTCTCGGCTTGTTAGCTTCCCAGTATCCACATTTTTACGTCTATAGTTTTTGCGCTCTACTGCAAGTCCTGTAGGAAAAAAAACATTCGGTAAATATTCGACAACTGCAGTTCATTCAACACAAAGTTGCAATTCACTATTTACAAGTTATTTATTTTTCATTCTTACTTATCCCCCCCCCCCCCCCCCCCCCCCGCTACCACCAAAACAAAAATCCACGTCACACACGGGACACGGCGTAAGCTACCGAATAATTTCAAGGACACGCCCTAGAGAACGGAGACAACGATAGGAGAGTTCCATGCCACACAGGAGACCAGATGCCACGGTGGCGAGACGTTAATTCCCTCGCCTGGTATACAGAAGGTCATTCATTCGATCCCGACCTTGACGACTAAAATATTTGAAGTTTCCACGTTCTGTCTACCCGTGGGTCGCGTCAATCTTTCTCCGGGCCCTCCAGTTTTAACGTCCGCATTTAGCATCAACGTGCGTTTAGAGCATTTGGCTGCTATGAATTTCCACAAGCCACTTCGCTGAGCTATCAATTTGTGGCCAGGTCGCTCGTGAAAAAAAGCTACGTAGCTCCGATGGGCCTTACCCGGTAAAAATAAAAAAAAGTCTTTATAGTTTAGTTGAGGATCTCTTTTTGCGGCAATGGCCTCGAGTGTGCACTTCAAGGTGGGGGGGGTGGTGGAAGAATGGTGGGGGTGGGGGGGGGTGTGTGGGGGTGGGTGGGGGGTGCACACGACACCTGCAGAACGAGAGGCAGCAGCAGCTTGAGGAGCTCGTCGTCGGCCGGCTTGATCCGCTCCAGCACCTCCAGCACCCACGACAGGTACTCGTGCCGCTCCAGCATGCCCTCCTGTGGCGGACACACGGACGTCGCGCGCTCGCCGTGTACGAACGCGTCGCACGCTCAACTTCTCGCGCAGCGCACGTGGCCACGACCGTGCGACGTATGGGGGCGCAACAGAGGGTGAGCGCAGCGGTCACGGACGCTTGCTCCGTTACGACATGCAGGTTGGATGAAACAATAGCTACAACTTCTGTTGCTTCCAAAACGTTAAGCCCACCTCCCGCGGTACGGCACAACCCCTTTGGATTCTGTTTGGATTCTGTTGTTCTTGAATGACAATGAAAAAATGTTAAAAAGTTAAAACAACTATATTTTTGCAATGAGTATATTAGCGGGGTTAAGGGTAACACCGTGTACGTTATATTGCACGCACAATGGTCATTACTATAATCGTCATAATCACGTATTACTTGATCAACTGCGCTAATCAGAGGTGCGGGGGAAGGACAACAAACTAAAAACACAAAACAGTTCTAAGGAAATTAGTTTGCAATCTAGATAATTGAAAAGTGGATCGCTCCAGTAGCTTCTGAATATCGGAAGGAAGAGCATTCCAAATGGCCGCAGAAGTGCATCTGAAAGCGCCACGTGATGCAGTGACCCATGGTTGTTCGATGGCTCGCCCTAAACCGCTGCTGTGAGGATGTCCGAGTTCGTGTGAAGAGAGCGATGCACGCTCTCTTCACGCGGGTTATTGCATAGCACACCTGGAACATATAGTGGGCCAGCTTCTCGTTGTACTCCCATTGCTTCATGGCCTGCTCGGCCTCGGGCGTCAAGGTGGAAGGGTTGGTGCCGCTCTGGCCGCCCTGGCTGGCCGTCGCCACGTAGTGCTCCGCGATCTTACTCAGCTGCTCCCGCAGGTACCGTATGAGGATCTGGGTCCACTCTGCGAGGCACAGCGCGCAAAAGTGGGACATCGTTAAAATCTCGATTTAAAGCTTTCATGACCGCAAGGATTCATCTTCTTTGGTTCTTTCGGTAAAGTCACGTAGAATGAGAATAAAATAATAAAATAAAACATTGTAGCTCTGTCGTCCCGACAGGTTTGTTCCTTTCACCTGAAGAAGGCCACTTGTGTTGTGGCCGAAACGTCGTGAGAATTTTGTTGTTTTATTTTATTATTTTATTCTCATTCTACGTGACTTTACCGAAATAACCAAAGAAGATAGTTAAAATCTTTCCGTGATATAATTTTTCGCGATACGACCGAACAATTCAAGGGTAAAATTTAAAAATATACATATACTTTTTGGGAAAAAAAATAACCCGGTAACGGTGGAGCTTTTGCTCACGCCACTGCTGGTTGAAGGGGTTCCACTAGAGGGCGCTCTCGCGAGCCCCTCTGTAGGGGATTTTGCTGGTCAGGTGTCTAAGAGGAGGTACCAGTGCCCACACTCTATCCCACTCCACATCGCTGTCCGATAAAAAACATGTGTGAGACACAGTTAGTCATTCAACAAGAGCCCATTACAAAGAACACGCGGTAGGGGAGAGGCGGTACAGATATTGCCTGGACGACAAGCCCGAGGCCGGGTGCCCACAGGGTAAGGGGAGGGAAGGGCAATTGTGCTCACTGCCCCCGTACTCACATAGGGGGTAGCGGCCGGGAACGTGGTATTTTCAGGGGAGGGGGAAATAAAATAACATACATACGCCGAGTGAACCTGCCATTATTATGGAACGCCCGGAGCAGAGTGGTTTACACATTTATACTGCTGGTTGTACAAGAGGTGGCAGTACCCACACTTTTATCCCACTACATACAGCTGTCCGATCGCTTAACATGGTTTACGCCTATATACTGCTGGCTGTCCAAGAGGTGGGTGGGGGGCATTTAAGAAACTTGCTCATTGCTTCAACTGCCATGGGGGAGGTTGAACCAGAAACTTCTGGATTGCAAGTCCAGTTTTCTTACCATACGATATCAAGAGCAACCCAATGGGCAAGTACAACCAACACATGCTCCAGCTGGTACTTGGCGTGTAGACGTATTACCAACAGCACCAGTGCTTGCCCTAACGTAAGGTTAAAGTATTCCACGTAATATGGGGCTTTACATGCACTGTACGCACTTCCCCCTAATCCTCACGGCAAGCAAGGCTAACGTGAGTGAGCATGCCAGCGCTTAAGCGTCTCAGCCAATGGATATTCACCGAAGCAACTTTCTATATATTGTACACCATTTTCTAATTATTCTCCGATACTAATGCCAAACGTACTATCTGTGTCATGTCACGGTTAGCTATGTACGGTGCGAGAGAAGTTCAGCATACATACTAAACGAAACAATTTTTATTTTACATGGGAATGTCTACCGAGCTTTGTAGCTCTTTTTCAGAAGCGACCTGGCTTTCACAAATGACAGCTCAAGCGGTGGCTAATCACGTGAAAATTTCTAGCAACCAAATATTCTAAACGCTTGTTTCTAAATGTGAAGGGTAAAACCGGGGGATCTGGAGAAAAATCCACACGACCAGGGGCAGAACATGAAAACTCCAAATATAGGTGGTGTCAGGGTCAGGATGGAACCCACGACTTCCTCTATACCAGGTGAGGGAGTTAACATCTTTCCATATCTACTTGGGTCTCTCTGCAGAGTTAATATGCCCTTCTTGTTAGAGAATGGCCTGCTGAAGTGAATATCACAGAGCTACCTCTGATATTCCTTACAGTGGCTTCAATTGCATAGCGTAGAGGGCAGTATTGTCTTTATACCATCTGTCTTTTATTGTTCTTTGTTGGGTTTTTAAAATGTGTGTAGTTTCTGCAATTAGCCTAAAAGTAACATTCGCATGGAAGTGGCAATACATATGAAATATTTAATTATCTCACATGCATGGCTGATTTCATGTGTCGTGGGAAAATGTACAGCATGTTGAACTTATTCTTAGCTCTTTCGGTAAAGTCACGTTGAAGGAAAACAATAAAATAATAAAATATATAAAACAATTTTAATTTAAACAATAAAATATATATAAAACAATTGTTATTGTTTCATATATTTAATTATTTCATTGTTTCCCTTCAACGTGACTTCACCGAAAGAGCTAAGAATATGAATTACTGCAGTCACGAAAGCTTTCAATCAAAATTTCATGTTGAACTTCTTGTTCACCGTACACAGGCAACCGTGCGAATCGGAGGTGCGGGAAATTGACGCTAGCTGTGGGCGGGAATCGAACGCGAGTGAACCGGGTTACTAGGCAACGGTGTCCCGAACATTTCGTCGGAAGCTTCCAATCGAGTTCCTTGAGAAGCTCGCGGCAATTGCGGCGAAGCATCGGGACGCCCGTGCCAAATAACACGCATTAAAAGTTCAGTTCCTGAAGACGCTCTCGGCAAGTCTAGGCAAAGTATCAGACAGCACGCCGAACAACATGTACGTACGTATGCATGTTGACCGTACATAGTCAACCGTGCTAATCGGAGATGCGGGGGGAAAGACAGCAAACCGAACACAACAAAAATCAGTATTCAATCTCGATTTCAAAGTGCGTAAGCTCCAGTGGCTTCCTAATTATGCTGACGGTGGAACCTTTAAATGCAGTAGCGTACAAAGAGCAGGCCCAGTATGGAGGCAGTAGTCTGCAGCAGAGTAGATTTAATATAATTTTAGTACAGTAGAACTCCCTTCTCTATCCGTGAAGTGGGTGCGGTATAACCTGGACACACATTGGAGAACCACGAAGCGAGATGCCGGTCACGCAAAATTAACCCCCCCCCCCCCCCCCCCCCCAACCAAATGCTTGCACAGGCTCGCCGCAGGGGGGGGGGGCTGGCCTGGCACATGGGCCTTCGCTACACGCAAGCGAACGAGCAAGTGGCGGGCCCGCGCGAGTCTGCCGCCAGCAGCGAGCGCGCTTACCCAGGCACGGGTCGATGACCTGGCGCTTCTTTATCTTGGCCTCCGACACGGCGGCGTAGTAGGCGCACGTCATCTTGATGAGCCACGCGGCACGCATGGGAGGCACCAGGTACTTGGCCAAGTATCCAAACACCTCCTCCTTCTTACTGAGAATGGGCACCTGTAGAGAGAGCATTGAGAGGATGTTGTCAAAGGGTTTAGAAGGGTGGGAGCAAATCCCTTCTTCTTATTCGAAAAGTCAAAAGTCCCACTATAGCACCGGGGGATCAGCTGCTCGGATTTTTTCTCGATGTGCTTCTTACTCACATCCACTCTCCTCGTCTCTAATCATATGGCATCCGTCACTCTCACCCTTGGTCTCCGCTTGCTCCTTCTGTACGTTCAACTTCTTTCGCACCGTACTTAGCCGACCGTGCTCATTGGAGGTGCAGAGATGCCCTGCATCCCAGTTCCATCTCCATACCCATTTGTGTTGAAAATATTTGTCTAGATTCTTTTGTTATGGATTTGCGAGCAAAATTTGACACGAATGCAATTAAAGAGATTTCCGGTAAACATATATTAAATATGCTCACGAGTGTGTACTACGGGAGTTGTACTGAAAATGGAATTGTTTGATGTCATAGAATTAAGCTACCTGATAGCAGCAAAATGAAGCGCAAGATCAAGATAAACAACGTTATTAAAAATCATCAGAGCTTAACGGTGATGGGAAATTAGCACAGCTTTGTGAAAATGTGTTGATTATGTTACCACTAATAAAAAAAACAAGATTTTGGGTATCATGCATTTAGTTTTAGAAATGCATATTGGAAATACATCTGAATGTGTTCAGCAGTCAAGAAAAATGGGTGAAACTGATCATTTGATCATCGAATCACGATGAGTGATGGACCCTACCTGTACAAGACAAAACTATTGAGTCATTGTTTGGAAATTTCGCCTCCTTTGTCATACACTCTTGAAAGATGTTATTATTAAAAAGGTTTAAAAAAATATCCTCATTTGTCTCGCACCATTTTTTTTAATCAACATATTTCATGATAAACCACAGCACCAAGGAGAAGAACCCAATTTAGTAATTCATTGTCATCGTCAGTCATGGTCAATCGACTGCGGGATGAAGGCCTCCCCTCCAAGCCGCCACCATCTCCAATGACGTGTCAATCCACCCAGCATCGGCACAAAAGATACTTTCAGCGTTCCATCTTCATGGTGGATGTCCCCTCTACAATGTTCCATTCCTTGGCTGCCACTAAAATCATTATTCTTAACCATAGCCCATTATCCCTTCAAGCGATCTGTCCTACCCAAACCCACTTACTTTCCCGAACAGTTTGCACTACGTCTTGATCTGCGTATGTTCTCCAACCATTGCGTTCCTCGAGTCTGTCCCTTAATGTAATTCCAAGCATGCGTGACTACATCCAAAAAAATACGTCTATAAACACCAATAATAAACAGAGCGGCTAAGACAAATGGCAAAAAAATATTCCAGGCACAGTGTCCTAAAATAAACTGCATTAACGCATTCCAAGTGCCGCCTCTTCGGACATAACTTATTAAAATTGCTTTCAATATGAATAATAAAAAAAAACCACTGGTCATACACCTAATATCCAGTCACATAACGATGATTAACGTCGCCGATTAAAGTTACAAAGAAACCGGAGGTGCGAGTTTGGTTGGCTTGCTGGCTGGCAGTACCGACTACTCATCCAAGTTACAAGTATGATTTTTAGGAGTGCCCCACTCATTGGAAACATGAAGCAAATCCAAGTCAGGTCAATTGGGGTGAGAACAGTGCAGCAACCATCGTCACGAATCAATAATTTACAATGCGCAGCGTCTCAAAATGAGATGAAATCCATTTGTTGGGATGACTTCAGACACCCTGTACACAACGGGCTGCCTGCTCTATCAAAATTCATTTTGGCATCTTGGGTTGTATTAATCCCTATTTTTAGTACCAAGCAAAGGAATTCCAGTCAATCTTTCTGATGCCAAGGACGAGTTTCAGATAAACCAAAGAAATTGCAATATCGGATTGTAAGAAATTTTAGGGCCCAAGTTCAGATTTTATTCAATATTTTAATATTTAATTGCATTAAATATGTACAACGTTCATTGTTTATTCACCATATGCCACCATTTTAAGAATTATGAATCGTTGCATTCAAATGTTTTAACATCAGATTTCACAAGTAAAATAATATTGAACGTGAACATTTGTATACTTCTTAGTACTTTAATAACAGGTGACAACACGCCTCATTAAAATGATGTCACTTTTGGCAAGAACAAAAAAAAGCAGAGAAAGTGATGTACTATGAGTGACACCCACCCACTTCCTATGAGTTGGGATGAATACACTCCTGGACTGCTCAGGACCAACACGAAGGACTTGTCAAGAATAATATTGTCCCCGATGCCACTGTGAGCCGGGCACGGCATGGGCTACCCACCTTTTTGGTGAGCCCTGTGAGAGGCTTGTTGCTGGCCAGGTCTGTGAACCAGTTATGAATGGCGGACTGCGAGCGGGCCGTCACCAGCCAGTAGTTGTCCTTTGTGTTCACTTGCGGTTTCTTCTTTCCCGTGTCCTGAAACGTGTTCAGCTTGAACTTCTCCGCGAGTATGTCGCTGAAGTATGCGCCAATCTGCACCACGGGCGGCAAGACCGGCAACAAAATAAGCAAAAAAACAACACTCGTTTTTACAAATGGTTACAATGATTATATCAAGTGGCTGCAATTGCAAGACTGAGTAATTATGCAAAATATGGATTTTTGTAGGCCCTAGTAGCACCTACAGTCACAACTGATAAGCATAGTCTGAGAATGAAGATATCATATAATCACCAAGAAAGTGTCAGATCTCAGAAGCTAAGCAAACTTGAGCCTGGGTCGCACTTGCACAGGTAGCCACCGTGACCCACGCGGAATGAGGCACTCATCCAGCAGCGGATTGACGGAAGGACTGTGTATATAGACATACGCCTTGGGTGATCACAAGGCCATGCAGAGAAAGCCTTGCCTCACATAACCCTGTACCTACGAGAGGGTCGAGCTAAGCCTTCCTCAAACTCGTTTAATCACCACTTGGTCATGCATAGGCTGGTGTTCATCAATTATTATTGCCTTCAAATGTTCTACTCTTTTGTTGTATGATATATTCGGCTAGCCCTTGTGGCAGGTCCTTGAACCCAGCTATTGGCGTGCTCTCGTTGTCTGGGGGTAGGTAGATCACCGCGTGTGCTCCTGCCGTGCGTGCAGTCCCACGAGATCCTCCGGTTTTTCCCTCTCCACATTTAGAAACGTGCATTGAGATTGTTTGGATTACTTCGCTGCGAGACATTTACACATGCCTAAAGCCACTTTGTTGAGCTATCATTTGTGGCCAGGTCGCTTCTGAAAAATAAGTTAATACCTCAGTGGGCTCTGCCGGGTAAGATAAAAATTGTTTAGTTTTATTTGTATACTTTTAAGTGATTTGTTCACCTTTCCGATATTTTACACTCCTATCGCGTTTTTGTATTGTTTGTGGCTGTAACGTTCTGACCCACATCTGTGAAAAAGAGCTTTGTAGCTCATCGGATTCCTCCTCCAGTCGAAACAAATATTCTAAATCCGATTCCGATCTGGGGCAGGCCAGGTTCGCAGTCTTGAGAACTCGCCCGTGGATCTGCACTTGCGGCCCCGAGTCCCGAGGATCACGGGGCAGCAGGTAAGTGGCCGTGAGCCCTGGGCACTCCGGCTCCAGGGCCCACTACTTTCTACCGGCACATCCGAGCCAAGCCATATCGGGGGTCCTCATGGCGTGGCTGGTTTCCCACTAGCTATATGCCATGCCGAGCCGTGGCCAAACCTTCACCCGTTGGCTTTACAAGACAATTGAATGTGGCTTTGGGGGCCACGCAGGGCCAGAGGTGCGGCTAATGAAGCATTTCATTGCATGTGTCGTCAGTCATTTGAACACTTAGAACACGCCACTTTGTGCCTCTACGTGCATATCAACGTATTCACAGTGACACAGCAGAATGTCACACCGGCCATGGTCAATCCGCTGCTGGATGAGAGCCACCTTATCTCGCAATCGTGTGGTGTATTAATCCACACAGAACCTGCGCATGAGCTGAAGTCATCATCGCTCCATTATCTTCCCCTGTAAACGTCCTCTCAGACACGTTTCCATTTCTTGGCTGCCGCTCCCTCATCATTCTTGACCATCAGCCACCATCCCTTCTAAGCTTCGTGTCTTTCCCAATCCCACTTACTTTTATTAACAGTTACCAGATTAAACAAAGTAAATGCGAGTAAGATAAATGCCTTTAACCTGCGTACGTTCTCCGATTCTTGCGTTCATTTTCCTGTCTCAATGCAACTCCAAAAATTAATCTCTCCATGCCTCTTTGTGCACTTTCAAGTTTTAGGAATATACCGATCAGTCGCGGCTGTGGGTGCATTTTTATTGACCAGGGATCTTGAGTGCACCATCACATTTTCAAAAACTGGAACGCTGATTGCAACAGCACAACAAAAGCCGTAAAACACACACTTAAGGTATTGAATAAAATGCACCACGTTGCTTATGCGCACTGGCACTATTAGCTAAGTAATATATAACTGCCAAAGAGATGCAGCGCAGAACCAACAGCCAGAAATCTATTTGCAACCAAGTGCAAGTACATGCAAGTCAAGTACAGCACTGTAAAGGGGACTTTGCATTTAAATACACACCTTAATGCTATAGCAGAGGTGAAGACAATAACACGGACAAGATGCTTAATACCACAATATTTACAGGAAATGAGGCTGATTAGGCACTCCAAATTACTGGTCAGGTGCACTGATAGCAGTTCAATTGTCTGCTTACGGAACTGCAACTACTGCTTGTGGCATTCTGTTACATAATATAATTTAATAAATACCGTGGTAGACTCAACCAGTTGGCGATGCGGAAAGAATTATCAATCAACTGCTTACGGGGCTTCCGAAGCCCCCTACTATCTCTCACTATCCCGCGATGCGACAATCCACCATGGACCTGAACACCAACCGATTTCACCGCTCCATCTGACGCGTTCCTTGCCTTGGCTGCCACACTCCATCGTTATTCTTGGCCTACAATCGCCGTCCCTTCTCGTCATCATGCGTCCTGCCCAAGCCCGCTTACTTTTCTCATCAATTGGAATCGTGTCATTAGCAAGCGTATCTTTATTTTATAATCCGTGCCGTTTCTCTCGCTGTCTCTCAACGCAAATGCAAGCATCTGTCTCTCCAGGCCACTTTGGACACTTTTCAGTTTTAGTTCCAATTTATATGGTTAATGTTCATGTTCTTTTACTGTACATGATAGCTGGTAGCATCATGTTATTAGCATGCTTTTTTTAGTTATCCATTTGTTTGTAACAAAATACTTTCTCAGCCTAGCGCATGTTGGAAAGCGTTACAGAATCCATGCATATGCATTACTTTATAACTTGTTTTTGTCAATGATGGTGTTTATGAACTTTGTCAGGCACATTGGTACGTTACTGTCCATTTTTAAGTAATGCTCACTGTAACTGATGCGCATTAAGCCTTGCAGACAGGACAAGTACCGGGGCATCGTAAGGTACAGATGAAAGGTTTGTTGGCGTTACCTTGGCTGGTACAATCTGGTTGAGGAAACTCCTTCCGCTGCCATGCTCATCGCCGGAGAAGGCCAGCTGATTGCTGAAGCCCTGCTTCACATTCACGGCATTCAGCTCGTCCTGGAGGTACAAAAAGGGGAAAACCAACGAGCAGACACTCATAAGTTAACGCAACGCTCACTAAACTATATTCATCACCTTTATCGTCCGTCTATGGTCAGAAAAGGCACAACTTTATTTCACAAAGTCCTTCGACCACATGAACCCTACCCACTTCAAAACGGCCCACAACCGAAACCAATCCGTCACTGCGGCAAGCATCTTAACAGCGCTAATTGCGCACGAGATGGGAATATTTTTTTGACCTGACAACGCCGTTTCTAATTTTACCACACACGGGTCACTGTAAGGGCTCTCTCGCAGTGGCATAAAGTGACTGAGGTGCGTGTTACTGCATGGCCTGCCAAAGGATTGTGAGAATCATATTCAGCCCTGAGCAAGAAAAAGGTTCCCCAACCCTCACCTCCCACCACTGCCCTTTGGTCATAACAATCACACCCGGCAACAACTAGCCACATTTTGCTTCACTCTAACCGTTACATTCACAGAAACCTCCGGCACATTATCGACACTAAATGCAATGTTGGTGAACTCGCTGCCTTTTCTCTCATGTTACCAATTTGCTTGGTTTCAACAAGAATGAAACAGCAGAAGAGTGCACAGCAGCAGCAGCAGCAACACATGCATTTTTTTTAATAGGATACTTTAAATCTCCCTTGGTGTCTGGGGCTTTAAGCCACCATTAACGTACTTTCAGGCACATGGAAAGCATTACATCACTGCCTTGTTCATATTAATACTGCATGATTTGTGCTCCTGCAGTGCTCATTAACCAAGGTCTGTTGAGCACAAAGGGGATAGGTCGGTGGTGTGCATTCTTCATTCTGTATGAAGAGCCCAGGACCTCTGCAATGTGAATTCATGCGTTGTGTACAAGTTCGTGTTTGGGCTAGTCCAAAACAACGGGAGCACAGCGAAGCGGTACAATATGAATTGTATAAATATTTACTGCAGTTTGATTTGGACAAATCCGAAGTTTACGTTCATAGCCAGTTCCTTGTTTGAATAAACTGTCCAAGCTGGGCTAAGATTAATGATGATGTTTGACTTCAGCTTCAAACTTCATTTAAATAAATGTCAGAAATTCGTGCAAATTTGGACTTGAGGTAATCCGCACTGTTACGATTCCAATATTTGCATTCAACTTACAGGAACTAAAACTTCCTAAAGACAATGGCTACTGTTTGAGCATTCAGTTTCACCACTTAATGAGAGTTGGGTAGAGGGTCACGGGCTAAGCTAAACTTAATTTTCAATGCGAGCCTCAGCTGGGCTGTCCAATAATTATTTAAGCAATTGATGACTACCCCAAATTATCGGTTCGACTATTCGGCTAAATCAGATAACACAGTCGGGTAGCTAGGGAAAAAAGACTCGCTTATGTTTCCACGTGTACCGCTGTACGGTAGGTAATGGGCGGTGCTTGGTGACATCATCAGTGTCATCAGCTGTGCCACACTGGGCGTGGCTTATAGAGGCTTTCCCACCTTCAGAGGGGGGGGGGGATGCTGTAGTGAGTGGCCGCAATTTTTAAAGGGGGACCGAGTAAGAGACCGCCATATATGTAGTCGATTGCAATTATTAGTTGATTAGTCGTTTTAATAGACTCGTGGTCGATTTAATTGACTAATCGTCGCACCTGTAAATTAGACTAATTCTAGTGTAGAATAGTGGGAAGAAGCAAAAAGCACCTCACTTGTAAAATAAACATATAAGGGCTCCTCCTTTGGTCGGCATGATGCACGTATGTGCGCACACACACAATGAGACACTCAAAGGACATTGCACATAGGAAAAAGACTGATTGCCTTAAGGTGCCAGGAAGGCAAACAAAGATCCCCCATATAGCCTGTAGGGCAGGTGCTGTTAGCGTGCACCAATTAAGGCACAACACGGCACACGAGGGAGTGGGTGGCCAACACCATGCTCAGCTGCCTTTGTCTCCCCAGTGGCGATGTTTACACACCGCACCAGGTACTCATTTGAGGCTGAGTTGACCTAGGGAAGGACCAGTACCGGTTCATTATCTTCCCCTGTGAACGTCCTCTCAGGCACGTTTCCATTTCTTGGCTGCCGCTCCCTCATCATTCTTGACCATCAGCCACCATCCCTTCTAAGCTTCGTGTCTTTCCCAATCCCACTTACTTTTATTAACAGTTACCACATTAAACAAAGTAAATGCGAGTAACATAAATGCCTTTAACCTGCGTACGTTCTCCGATTCTTGCGTTCCTTTTCCTGTCTCAATGCAACTCCAAAAATTAATCTCTCCATGCCTCTTTGTGCACTTTCAAGTTTTAGGATTATACCGATCAGTCGCGGCTGTGGGTGCATCGAACTCGGTTCGCCGGAAGGCACACAACACACGCACGCACCGCTCGTCAGACGACAAAACACAATATGTGCTCACCCTTTGGTTTTCCTCTTTCATGCCATTTCCAAAGCAGCGCCTTGGAAGTGGCACCACTCACAATAGCAGAACCACGCTTGCCCCCCCCCCCAGGGTCTGTTTTCTTTTTAATAAAAAGCTTTGCACAATGCCCATGGTACTTTATAAACTACGGTGTACAATCAAGTCCACGCACTTTGCGATATTGTACGTGCAACGCTGCCTTACATTTGTATTGTGCATGTCCACTGTGTTGCGGACATACGGTAAAATTGTACATTTATAGTTCATGCAATACTTGCTCGCTGCAAATCTTGCTTATGCACGCTTGTAAAAGGAAAAGGGTGTAGCCCTACAATTCACGTTATCCTACTTGGCCTACTCTTCTACGGTGGTCAGAACCTCTTGGAAGATGTAGGAGAACACACACTTTAAAGCAGCACTACGGACGACTTGCCATCGACTAAAATTCATGACTGCACTCACAGCCCCGACTGTCAAGCCGCAAATGAATGAGGGCCTCCTGCTCCCCCCTCTCTGCCCACACAGTGTGGGTCTTGAAGGTTTATTTGACCATACTTCACCACGGTACGAGGGATTTTTGTTTCCTGCACTCCCTCCGCTAGCCCACAACAGAGCCGGACCCACGCAGGAGCCTAACCCCCGTTTACGCACGGCGGTCGCCTATCCAAACACCGTCCAGGCTCAAGCCTGCCGTACACAAGCTGACTGCACCACAACACAATAGGCAAGTACTGTAAACACATTGGTGGAGGAGCTCGCAGCCGAAGTGCTTTGGCGGGCAATGGAGTTTGAACCGCGGCCAGGGCTAAGGTCAGTGTCCGAGCGATATCTGAATCCGATGATGATGATGGTTGATCAATCTGCGCCAACCAGCGCGGTGAAGTATGGTCAAACGCCCCCCCCCCCTTCCATGACCAAGACGGTGTGGTTTCAGCCAGCAGTTGATCGATAAAGGGCCGGGAGTGAAGGAGCAGATTGGGGCATATTAATACTTGGGAAGAGAAAAACAACTGTTATAGCATACTTGTCAACAGAATTATCAGTGCCTACCTTATTAGACCAATTCCGACCTTATTGGTCACCCCATGCCCTTATAAATATCAACGTTCATCCTACAAAGTCCCATCAAAAGAGAGAAAAAGAAAAAAATTGATGTTTTAGTCAATTTCCCTGTACAAGAATACGGGTAAAACCGTATGGGTTGATGGGTATGTTGTAGCATTATCTTAATCCCATCGAACCCACCGCCAGGAAACAAAACGAGAGCAAAAAAAATAATAACGGACCATCTGTTCCCACCACAACGTGTTCTTGACTCATACAACAGCAAAAGATCAAAGTTAAGCCTACACGGGGTTGCTTCGTGGGAGAGCCGAGCAAGGCTTGTAGGCGAGACACCTTATCGAGGCCGGGAAATAAAATAAAACCCGACCGTGTGGGTTTGTTTTGGATGGATGGCACCACGCCCGAGCCGAGCCGGCTCAAGCCCGGCTTAAATGACACAAAACACACGGGCCACAAAGAGCCGGGTAGAAGGAAGGAGATGCATTTAGCGAAGGGGCTGACTGCGCTCAGCAAACCCCCATTGACTGTCAATTGACTAAGCCCCAGCAACAACCTACGTGGTGCCATTCTTGCTCTCTCTCGCTCGCCAGACAGCCAAGCAGCCAGCCATCCACCCAGCCAGAAACTCAGTCAGCCACCCAGCCAGCCAGCAACCCAGCCAGCCATACAGTTAGCCACCCAGCCAGCCAGCAACCCAGCCAGCAACCCAGCCAGCCACCCAGGCAGCCAGCCATCCACCCAGCCAGCCACCCAGACAGCCACCCACCCATCCAGCCACCTAGCCAGCCACCTAGCCAGCCACCCAGACAACCACCCAGACACCCACCCACCCATCCAGCCACCCAGCCACCTAGCCAGCCACCCACCTCGCCAGCCCTCCACCTAGCCAGCCACCCAGCCACCTAGCCAGCCACCTAGCCAGCCACCCATCCACCCACCCACCTAGCCAGCCACCCACCTCGCCATCCACCCAGCCAGCCAGCCACCCAGCCAGCCACCCAGCCACCCACCTTTCTAGCCACCCAGCCACCCACCCAGACAGCCACCCAGCCAGCCAGCCACCCACCTCGCCAGCCACCCAGCCAGCCACCCATCCAGCCACCTATCCAGCCACCTAGCCAGCCACCCACCTCGCCAGCCACCCACCTAGCCAGCCACCCAGCCACCTAGCCAGCCACCCAGCCACCTAGCCAGCCACCTAGCCAGCCACCCATCCACCCAGCCACCCAGCCAGCCACCCACCTCGCCATCCACCCACCTCGCCATCCACCCAGCGAGCCACCCACCTAGCCAGCCACCCACCCAGCCACCCACCCAGACAGCCACCTAGCCAGCCACCCATCCCCCCACCCATCCAGCCACCCACCCATCCAGCCACCCAGCCAGCCACCCAGCCAGCCACCTAGCCAGCCACGCACCTCGCCAGCCACCCACCTAGCCAGCCACCCAGCCAGCCACCCAGCCACCTAGCCAGCCACCTAGCCAGCCACCCATCCACCCACCCACCTAGCCAGCCACCCAC